TTTATGCGCCACACCTGATAATGTGTTCAGCAACCAAGGCCCTTCAAATTCCGCCGCATCTGACAAGGAATTTTCGCTGCCACAATCTGATTGATTATCCAAATCACTCAGCGCAGCACTCGAAGAGCTACTCCCACTTGAATCACTTTCTGTATCCGATTCTTGCCCTGCGCGCTCATGCATCAAGCAACCAACACCACGCTGCAGCGGAACCCCAGGCCGCCAACCCGAATCCAAAACTTTAAGCAGTGCCCGCTGGCAGTTAAGTTGCGGGGTGACATCATCCCGACTATATCGCTGCACACACCTTGAGAAAACCCATGATGCCTATGATGACCCGGCGCTGCACGCTCCACTGGGTCAACTTTGCATTGCAATGCCCAAGACAACAAAATACATTTGAGAGAATGTAGCGAAAAGGTCCACGCAACTTCGCGTTCAAGCCCTGCAGCTAAGACCAGGCATCGCCGAAACTGCGCCAGCATGATGGTATAAGGCATGGGTTTGCCATTCCACCCTATGAAGAAATCCTGCGTAGGACGTTGCGCCCGAATTTCAGAAATCACGTTGAAGAGGACATCCCCCCAATTGCTTGCAGCGCAGCCACAGCGTAACACACCCCAAGGCATACCCCGAACCGAGGATTTGGTTCGCCAACACCACCCTCTGATAGAGGTAGCATCCGAGGTGATGGATTGTAAATCTAAACGTTGAAGATCTGACCATCTCAGACTACCCCAGGCCATAAGTAAGATGGCGCAAAGTAAAATTCGATCATCACCACTTGCACCTGCGACTACCTGCTCAAGTTTTTCTAAAGCAAAAAATGGTATCGGCACCGCTTCCTTCACTCTGCTGCGCTTCCACTTGTCACCTTTTTTCCAGCTCTGAATCATGGGCTCACGTAGCAATGTCTGCAAACTTTCCAAACTTAACTTTGCAGCGGCAAAAGTCATGGCGCTCAAAACCCCCAGAGCATTGCGCTGTCGAGCATTACCGCGGTCTTCAAGCGCGCCAACACTCAAACTTTCCAAAAAATCAAGCAAAGCTGATATTGGCGGAGCACCAGGCTGCAAATCATGTATAGAACAAAATGCTACCCACAAGCGCCATCCACTCAGATGGCGGCGTAGAGTGGCAGGTGCACGATCCAGAAACAATTGCCGCAAGCTCATTGCAGATGTCGATGAAAAATCACAAGAAGAAGCGCTCGAAGACGCCAATGTCCTGGCAAAACCTGCCCAGATGCCTGCCAGGCGCGCACGCTCCTGATCCTCTGATGCGCGAGCTGTTCCCACCAGTTGAACCCCAAGCTTGCCAGACGCCAGCCTCACCGGCAGTGTGTCAGCACGCGCACGAGCCTCAATTGGATCATCCTTAGAATCAGTAGTGCCAACTACAGCCGATTTACGAACGCTGGGCAAGCACAATCTAGCAGGGGGCCGCGGCAAGCCCGTACCCACGGGCAAATAGGGCGCCCGGCGTACCTGCCTCCTGGGTCTTTCAAGCGGCATCAAAACAGCAAAAAGAAAAGAAACAGTTTCACAAATGATCAAGCCCGATGCATTCATCCACTGCAAGCTGCTGAACAAACATCCACAGGGCAGCAGCTGAAACACACAAACCACAAAGGGCTTATGCAAGTGCAGCTGTAGTGTTGTTTCTTGCACTGAAAAGTGCAGGTGTCATAGGGTTTTGACAGGCTTTGGCTGCTGAGCGACTGAGCTATCATCCCAGAGATAGTGAAGGAGCTCCATGTGTGTCTAAGCTGTGAGCCGAAAAGCCAAGGATAGCCGAAGTATCACATCCAGCATTGAAGTGAGATCAACATCAACTGCTTGGATGTTTCAACCCATCCACAAAAACATCAGAAAGCTAAGGTCACAAAAACATCAATTCACTGAGACCACCAAACCGACCAGAATACTGGAGCCCAGCAGCAGAATTGGCAAATTTTCGACGACACACGTCGCAAGCCAAAATTGGCGAGCTTCTGGTCATAATTTCTAGGCTGGTGGTTTCACTCCAAAGATTAAACCAGTTGGGGTTGATTCAGAATTGATCACCTCTGCGAATTCCGAAGCCAATCAACAAAAACACAGTGAATTTCATACAACGGGTTTTTGCTGAACCACCAGCCAGTCGATTGCACTTTATCTGAGCACCTCTGTCTCAACTTAATGCTTAAATGTCCTTAATTAATTTGGCATGACCCTTGGAACATCCATGCTCCCCGTCGAAACCATTCGGGAAACGAAATCAAACTCTCAGAAAACCATGGAACACCCTTATTCTTTGATGATGTTCCATGGATTTTCCATGTTTTTCCCATGGTTTTCATGCATCTTTTCCCTGGAACCATCCCCTTTGGATGTCTCGTTCTATATCCTGGCAAGCTCCACGTGCATTTGACCTGTGGGGTCACGAGAGCGCACCTGCGGGATGAAACACGAGCCATGGGGTCGGAAGACTAGTTTCCATTAAAGATTGGTGATTTTCAAGGTCTATGATAATTTACCAGGGGGTCTATGTGAATAATGATGAATGTATAGTATACATATAGTATACAAATGAATGATTATGAATGTATGGAAACTGAGATTTCAACAACATCACATACATACACTGCACTGTTTGTTCTTGATATCTTAGATATCATAAATAAATAGTGGCTTATCAAACACATCCAAACATGGACAAACCTTCTAAGGCACCGGTTTGGATCCATGACCTCGTGTAGCAATGTCATGCAATGTAGCCATGTCCAAGTAGGAAATCCTCCCATTTTACACCCATGTTTTTCCACAGATTTCTTGAGTTTCACATTTCTGGAAGTGTATGAACATTTTACACCGCATATATATATATTTATTTATTTAAATAATCAATCAGTATCAATCACATTTGATATATAATCAAATATAATACTTTTAAAAATTCTATAAATAAATATATATATATATAATATATAATATATAATATATATCTATATCTATATATCTATATAAATATATATATATAAATAATATATCCGATATTCCCCCGGTTTAACCCACTGGCCCAGACATGACCTGTACCAGCATCGGCGTCCCAAGCAGGGCCGAGTCAATGGACTCCGCCACGTTCAGGTGGACAGCGACCTTGGGGCCCTTGGGGATCACATCATTATAATCCCATTAGAAAACCATAGGAAAACCATAGGAAAATGATGGTTTAATGGGATTTAATGGGATTTAATGGGATTTAATGGGATATACCCTCTGGTAAACTAACATAGCTATTGAAAATGGCCATAGAAATAGTGGATTTTCCAATTAAAAATGGTGGATCTTTCCATAGTTTTTTGTATGTTTACCAGAGGGTACAGGAAATGAATGGAGATGATGAGATGATCAATCTACCACTGGTGGATTATAATTCGATTATATAATTTAATATAATGATAATATATCTCCATTCATTTCCTGTAGATGGTCTATCCATTAGATGATTTTCCTGTAGATGATCTCCATCTCATCGCAAGTAATGTCTATCTTACTTGCTGATGGGCAAGTTGGTGAAGAACTCGACTAGGAGACCATGGGAAAATGGGATAAAACGGGAACATGGTGGTAGGTGCTGGAGACAATGTCCAGAACTAATGGCACGGCGGTAAAATGTGATAAACATGAGAAGGGCTGATGAATTCTGGTAGTAAACGATCCCGTTGTGTGTGCGGGGAAATTTGTGTCATCTCGGAGTCCCGGAGAGCTTAAAACATAAATTACTGTAATTTGGTGCACATCAACTATCATCAACTCATGATTCAAATCCATTAAAATCCCATCAAGTTCCACAATATGATTCAATGGTTGCTGCTTGATCCAACAACCATCCCTTCACCAAGTGACCGAAAATGGCGTCCTCAACTCCACCAAGGTCGAAAACCTCACTGGTTTCTCCAGTGACGGCCCTGAAAGGACCGGGAATCTTGGATGCACAAATTGATGACATCCCAATAAAAATCCCGATAAAAACCCGTCAAATCCCATTCATTTACAGATATTTACAGTCCGAATTAAAAATCCTGAAGGCCAAGACACACAATTGAGGTTAAATGACTATTCATGAATTGACCACGGACATGCCCACCAACACACGGGCCCCAGCATGAAGCAGGGAAATCACCAACATTGAGTGGGACATTATCCCGTTCCCGTTTAAAGATCCTTTTGGTAACTACATTACATGAAACAATGATGGAAGTGGAAAAACGAGTTTTAAAAAACGTCTTGTGGATCAAAAAATCCTACTGAAAATCATATTCTAGTAAAATCCTATTCCAGTAGTTTCCAGTAAAAATCCATTGAACATCCTGTTCCAGTAGTAAGGGAACCTCAAAATCCACCGCCCGCTCTTCGGAGGCCCCCCACACAGGACGAGCAGAGCGCTCTGTGACGTTCTTACCTTCAGGCCGTGCAACGGCACGCAGCGCGCGTATGATACGCGCACACCATGCATTATAATATTAATATAATATATATATATATATGTTAATTACAAGAAAAACGAAATATAAATTTAATTGATAGTGCGCCAGTATTGTATGTATACAACATTTTTTTGGCAAATGCACACAAATGTGCATATAACTGTATATATATATATATATGTATATATGTATATTTAAAAATTTATATTTATATTTATATTTATATATATACATACGTGCGCGTAGATAGATGGGCAGATAGATAAATTCATAGATGGAGAGATAAATAGATGGAGAGATGGATGGATCCATGTGTAGATGGATGGATGGATAGACGGCAGGCGGATAAATGGAAACATGGATAAATAGATAGGGAGATGACATGATTGGATTGATTGATTGGTTGATTGATTGGTTGAATGGTAAATGTATGATGATGATGGGTGAATAGTCCGATGGATGGATGGATGGATGGATGGATGGATAGATAAATACATGGATAGATACAGATTCAATGCCGTATGTACATCTAACAGAAATGATGTTTAAAAAGTACCAGACCACCAACGATAGGTGAATGAATCAACCAGCCACTAAACATTATGCGTATCCCGTTGGCCGTGTAACAACCACAGGTGCTCGTGCGGATTCGGATACTCAGTGCCCAACGACCGGTCTCCTTGTATCGGGGATTGTCCTTAGTGAAGACTGGAAGACGAGGATTCGTTGATGGTCGCTGGCTTCAACCTAAAAATGTTGACCTCAATCATCGCAGCCACTTTCTATGCAGCTGTTCGGTGCGTGCCACGAATACTCAACATATGTTTTGAGTATTCGCAACATTTTCACCAAGATATGGAAGAAACAATCGTAACATCACAAAACCCATCTTCAGCAAATCCAGGACACCTTGGACTTCGGAAGTTCAGGCTCCGACATCACCCAAAGTTGATGAGACCAAACCTCCCACCAAGTCCCTTAACTCGGTGTTGGCCAGCCTCGGTAGGGCAAGTCCCACCATGCCACTAGAGCATCTCGAGCTGCTGAGCTGATGACAGATCGAAGATATTGTGCCCGTGGGCAGTTGCCACCAGCTGGACACCTGCAAAGTCTGCTGGGTTTGACTTTCATGCTCAACTCTAACAAGTACCAATCCCCGAATTGCTATTTTGTCGCTTTGCTTCTGGCAAATTAAATATTGTAAATATATAATATATACTATACATATACTATGTATATATATAATATACACTAAACATTTACTATATGTATATATATATATAATATACACTAAACATATACTATATGTATATATATATATATAAATGAATAAAATACATACTATATATAATATAATATAAAGCCATAATACCTGGAAAGCCATAATCCCATTTTTTTTTGTCAAACGGCCTTGACCATTTTTTTTGGTCATTACGGCTTTGATCGTCTGGAGCCACTTGTGTGAGAGTTGCTACGGCTTTTTACGGCCTTTTTTCAACAAAATGTCGAAAAAATACGGTTTTGCCACGGGTAGGCTTGCGTGAGAGCTGCTACGGTTTTTTAGACGTTTTTTTTCAACAAAATGTTGAAAAAATACGGTTTTGCTACGGGTAGGACTGCAATGTTCTTTGATTTGACAATTTTTTTTGTCATTACGGGTAAAAACAATATTTTACCAAAAAAAATGTTCATTACGGCTTTTCCCCATAATGACCAGAAAATTTTGTGTTTTTGGCTTTCCAGGTATATATTAAATATATATATATATATTCAATATATAATGTCGAACTAGTGCAATGGGCTTCTAAACCACCTTCATTCTTTCATCTTCTTTCGGACTAGAGATATGTGATAGAGATATATGATAGATATAATTATATCGAAATAGTAGGTGGGGGGGAGGGCACCACCTTCTGGTAACCATCATCTTCAATCCTCCCGCAGCGCCAGTGCCTCGTTCGCCAATGGTGCGAGCCTGGAAAAAAAAACTCACCAGTCACCGAGACATGCCCTGGTCGTCATTGCCCATCAACGGTTCTTAAAAACATGTTTAAACAGTTTAAACCATCTCTCACTGGAAACAATTAATCAGTTAATGTCTATTCCATTATTATTAATATACAATGCGTTTTTTTGGCCATATTTTATTGCAAATTGCAATTGTATCCTAGGTATTCCTAGATATTCCACATCTGAGGCTCTGACAGCTGAGGCCTCACCCTGGGTTCCAATCTCATCCACCACCAATACCTTTGGCCTTACCGGGCTGACGGTGACGGATAGGCGTGGGGCGGGAAAACCAGGGCCTTAACAATAGACACGGATAGGATAGGCAAAGATTCATAAGGATTCATCATCTCTAATCATCTCTAATCTTGAACCATCCACTTGCTTCAGGCTTCATCCAAATTTTGATAAATTTTGTGGGTTCATGTTGGTTCTATACATCGGCTTGCTGATAACACCATCCGGTCATCCAGTCATCCATTCCGGGGGCCCCAATGTTCAATGGCTTCAGCAACTCGGACGTCCCTGCGTCATGTTCTCCACAACTCTTGTCATGGCTTCGCGACGCGCCTTGCATGGTTTCTTTGGCATCCCTCGCTATAACCAATAAGCAAGACTCCCTGCTATAGATTCCCTCAATATTTGATTTGCCACTGGGACAATAACAATTTCCTTCAGCAAACTTAAGTGACAATACAATAAATACATGCTTGAATCTCGGCTGGATCCTTTTGTTCGTCGCCACGAAAAGCTCAAGGGCCCTAAAGGTTTAAGTCAAAAGGTGCGTGACATAAGGAGTCATTCACAACCAGGCTTCTCTAAGACCATGCATGCGACAGCGTGGAATCACACCCGTCTTATTTGCTTTCACCCATCATTTTGACGAAACTCATTGCTGCTTGCGCATGTTGTGACAACAACAACAACCGTACCCTGCCATCAATGACGTGAGTTTCCATGATACCAGGCAACTTCTGATTGTTGTTGACAAACCTCAGAGCAAAAGGAATGCGGTAGCTACCATGGGTTTTGGTGAGTCCTGAAAGACCCTTTGAAAGGTTTGGCCTCATCAGAAACCTTCACAACATCATTCATACCCTACGGCAGCATATGCTTCAACTGCTCGTGCCATCCATTCCGAACCACAAACAGTTGAATTGCAACCTTCATCCAACACTGTCCAAACACCTTCATCATTCCAAATGTCAACCACACGCAAAGCAGGTCCAACAATCTGGTCATCCATGGGTGACAGTGCTACTGCCATGAAGCAGTGCTCGGGGTCTGCCTCTCGGACAGCCTCAATGGCATTTGCAAGGATCCCATAGACAACGGCAGCTCCAAGTCAAGATCTTGTTGGAAAAGGGTCATCATGTGGTATGCTCCCTCTTGATTCAAACAAACATCATCGTTTTCAGCTCCGATCACCCTTTCAGTGGTGTCAATTGCATTTGAAGGAAGTGTTGCAATGTCCTTCCCCAACTGGCGTCTCCTCCTAGCTTTCGCTTGGGGCATTTCATCTACGAATGTGCCACATTGCTTGCAAAAGAAACGTGCAGTGAACTTGCTACTTCCACGTTTGTCCAAATCCTGATGTTTGCATGTTTTTGGATTTTCAGGGAAACATGCACACGCTTTGTCCTAGTCTGGTGTCCACAGTCCAGGCATGTCCTGACCTGAGTGTAGGCATTGCTCCCCAGACCTGTGAAGCGGGTTCATTTGCTGCACTTGGCAAGTGGGGGATTTTGGGGCTGCGGTCTCCCAGACCCGGCGCGCTTCTCATGGCTTGAGCGTGCAACAGACGAAGCACTTCCAAGGGCAACATGCGTGGAATGACCTCATGGGACCCGCCATCAATCTCATAGTTGTCAGTGGCCCAATCCAAAAAGTCTGCCAGACCCTTGCTGAGTGACTTCTGCTAGTAACCAGGGTACTTATGCAAAACCTAATGGTAAGACAAACCAACATGTTGACCAAACGTGAACTTGTTATCTGACCCATCAGGCAAGCTTTCACTTCCCGGGAGGCCGGGACACGGATTCGACGTGCTCTGTCCTTGCGTTTGTCACTAACACTAACCATGCTAAAATCACCTGAGTCGGCTGATCCACCTACTGATCCACCTGCTGAAGGTGGTCTGGAAACTGGGGTCCTGTAAGTTATGAATGCAGCATGTTCTTTCTCCTGACGTGAGCGCACATGCAAAACACCATACTCACCTGCAGATGACTCCTCATCGCTGATTGCAAGATACCCTACACCAGGCTTGTTCTTCCCCTTGCTGGGGAACTTACAAACAGGGTCACCTGCCCAGTGACCGGTGCTTCCGCATCGGAGACATTTGGAACGAGCCTTCAGCTCTGCCAAACGCTTGACACGATCCTGTACACTGAGCTGTGTTCGGAAAACGTGCTTACCCTTGCCTTTGCCCTTGTCCTTGCCTTTGAAACCCTTGGTCTTCCCCTTGTGGCCAGCGGCCACGTAACCTACATAAAGCTGTTGGGCAGCTTCTGGAAGGTCATCAAACCCATCAGCTGGAGTTTCATCATGGTCACACTCAGCCATGGCGACCAAAGCAACTGCAGCGTCCTCATCTTCAACATAGTCCCACTCAGTGGGCTGTTCTGATTCATCAGGGTGGGCCATGCACCCATGTTCATCATAGTGTTCTTCGTACTCATATCCCCCGTGATACTCCTCTGGCTCATGATGGCTCATGCCAGGTCTCCCCATTGGCTTCTGACCAATGGGCTGAGCGGTTGTTTCATGTTGTTTATTGTTGTTTCCATACCAAGGCTTTTGCGACCCTTTGGGCTGCCCTTCCTGCCCATCATGTCCAGCTTGTCCATCTTCGGGACTTCCGCTGTGTCTTCGTGCTCCAGGCACATCAGTCGCCTGGGCGTCATCGTCTCCTCCTCGTCCAGCGACGGGGCTCCTTTCAGCACGTCCTCGTTCAGGTGAAGTTGACGTAGACTTGGACTTGTGTTCCAAAGCCTTCTTCTTGATCTTCTGCTTGAGGAACTCCACACGTATTCGGGTCCTGAACTCCCACTCATGGAATCCACTAGGGCTTCCAGAGTAGATGTACGTACCAGACTTGGTCTCTTGAGGTGCCGTGCCAAAGGTCGCAGACTGGTACCTCAATCCTGCAAGGGACATTGATACAGTCCTTCTCAGCACTAAGCTGTCACACACACACACAATCTCACCTTCCTGGATCTGCGAGTTACAGTGAGAGTCAAATCCCGGGGATCACCCTCCGGAACCAGCTCCGCTAGCAGTTTGAACCTCGGCTGGATCCTTTTGTTCGTCGCCACGGAAAGCTCAAGGGCCCTAAAGGTTTAAGCCTTTTAAGCCAAAAGGTGCGTGACATAACCATGCATGCGACAGCGTGGAATCACACATGTAAATACCCCATCATGTGGACCCGCCCCCCAGGTAAAACATCCAAGCCCAAGAATCAGAAACCCGCCACGACACCACCATGCCAAACACTGGGGGGTCTTTCTCTTCACCTGTGGGATAGTTTAACCGTCAACAAGATGATGTTTACACAAAATTCCATGGACAAATATCTGGCAACATCCCCCTGGGTTCCGTTCTTTTTTCCTTGAACCAATGCTTGCAATATCTCGCCAAAATATCTGTTTTTTCTAGCAAACTTCATCCATCTTGATATTTTCCCTGTACTTGCGGTATCTTGCGGTAAAAGCTGGAATGGCCACAGCCCGAAAATCATCTGTACATATAGCATCATGAGTTCAGTACTTCCACAAAAAATGATGGGACGGAGCGAGCCATGGAAGCATATGGAAGCCATTGCCCACTTAGTTCGATGCTTTACCTATTAAACATGGTATAACATGGTGATCTTCCAGCTTGTAAACTGTAAGAAATTACCAGAGAGTCTGGCTTCCAGCCAGTCATCACGCCTCGCTTCTGCTTCGCGTTTTTCGAGAATAGGCCTGGGCTGAGGACTCCTTCAGCTAGACTGCCAGGAAATTGAAACCATTCGAGGGTCAGAATAACCAACAGCGGGGTGTATCCAATATACAATCAATATCAATCAATTAATCTTCATTTTTATGATGATTTTTGGGGCCTCATTTTGGAGCCAAAACCTCATGATCTTTGTCATATCCTGGCCTCATTTTCTTCAGTCACCGATGTCCGGGAGTCACACCATGTCTTTCAAAGATCTGCCCGCGGATTTGTGTGGCTCGTCTCCACAGCCCGCGATCTCACCTGCCGGGTCCACCTAGCACCGGGATGGGCAAGGGGCATGGGACATGGACACACATGGCGTCGCTAAAGCCCTTAAAGCCCCTGGAAATTACAGCAATTTACATGACATGGGATGAATATGGATGAATGATCTAAGAGCCTGACAATCACCGTCGACTGGTCTTCTGACATACGAGCAGCCTTGCACAATTTCATCTGCATTCAAAACACAACCTGTGTGAGAATTTTGCGTGCGGGATCAGCAATGAGGCATTGAAAAATATAATATATTACACCTTCTGCCAATCCAACCTTGTCATGGGAAAGCATCATCTGTTCATACAACATAGGAAAAATCATGAACAATCAATCCATGTGTTGCTTCTATGCTTCTACTACAGCTTGAGTATTGTACAAGAATTCACTGTATAAGAATTTGAGGGGCTCAGTTCCAAGGCGGGCTATATATGTTGAGCTAGACCAAACACATAGTACGTTAAGAATTTGAGGGACCCTGGAATAGGATTGCCAATTCTTAAATAACTGCTTATACGCGAGGTTTAAAATTCCCCTTTTTCGCGTTTCATTTTTTTTGAGGCGTGACCCCTTTAAACCGGGCTTTGCAAAAAAACAACTTTTCAGGCTCTAAAAAAATGTTGTTTACACACTAACCTCATGAAACTCAGACAAGCCCGGCTTTGCAAACAAACAACTTTTCAGGCTCTAAAAAATCCTTTTTTCGCATGCCTCTTGTCAAATCTGCCAACTCCACCTCGTTACCTCGTTTAAGCTCGCTCCAAACTATGCAGATGCCTGCAAAACAAAACTAAGAATGCCCTAAGAATTTGAGGGACCCTCGGCCTGTTGTGGTGTAAATTTGCCTGCATTCAAAAATAAGAATTTGAGGGACCCTGGGCCTCAAGCTTTCGGATTCTTAACCAGAGCTCGGGCTGTATTTCCAGGTTGGATTACCAACAGGACCCTCAACTACTACCTAGGGACCCTGGGGCTTCATTTTAGAGCCCAAACCCCTGGTCCTAAAATGAAGAAAGCTCCTGAAAGGTTTAGCATCCCCTATACCACTCCAGACCTTTACGTGGCCAGGAGCTGCCTGGTCCAGAATGGAGTTCTCGCTGGACATATTTGGAACTATCAAGATGCAGCGTATGAGCCGGTTTGAAACTGATAGAATATCAAAGAAAAACATTCAACCAATTTTGGGTCCTACCAACCATTTTTTTGCAGGGCTCAACGTTGAGCAATTGCATTTGACTGTTGACTAGATTTGGCAAAGAACATATTTAATCTTCAATTTTGCGCTTCCATTTTGGTACCACTATTTTTTTGCTGGGGCCTCCGGAGGGTACCTATGCGCATCCATTTGGTACCACTATGCGCATCCATTTGGTACCACTAATCATGTGCTTCCATTTTGGGAGCACTATCCATTTCCATTTTGGGAGCACTATGCGCTTGCTTTTTAGCGGCCCATATGGCCCAACAGGGTCTCTGAAACTTTATGATTGATAATTTCTTGCTAAATGAACTCACAACAGTCACTGCCACCAACAAACGTTTGAATATGTTTGAATTAGTTTTACATAATATCATAATATCAGCAACTACATAACTATAATTAACTATATACAAACAAATGCTATCCATAAGTACAATGATATGTATAGAAAGTGGAGGGGTCCAAAATGATCCAGCTGACCATTACCCTTTGCCGGATCTTCAGGTCTAGCCAGACCCGCAGTACTTGAGGGTATCAACAGCTACTGTAGATCTCCTGATTTGCAACATGTTGCAACTATCTGTTGATGTATATCAACTGACTACTTGCGGATGAATTATACAAATAGACAGATATCTCTTTATGACTATCCGGAAAAATCTCTCTCTCTCTCTCTCTCTGTGTCCAGCCAGAGCCGAGCTAAGTCAGGGGCACATGCGCGTAGAAGGGTTGTTTTTCCCACCTTTCGGAATGCTTTGGAGGGGTTCCCCCAAACATCGCAAAACAAATGGCCAAAACACAGGAAGAACAGGTCAAAAGACAAAATTGATGTAGCCTGAACTCGCCTGAGACAAGCAAAAACAGATGCAATGAAGCAGTTCCGGTATTCTTGACGCACAGCACTCGCACTCTCTTCATCCTACCAAATTAAGATGAACATGAAGATGAAGATGAAAATGAACATGAAGAAGGTGATGATGCTACTGCTGATGATGATGACGACGACAAGGAGGATGTGAGGATGTGAGGATGTGATGATAGGGTTGGCGATGGTGATGGCGATGGTGATGGTGACGACGACGACGACGATCACGACGATAATTGATGAATCAAAATTGATTAAGAACACTTTCTGAATACTTCAATAATCATATAATGTTACTGATGTTCAGCGTGCGTGCGGCCCAAAAAGCCCATTCTGGGGCCCAGACTCCTGGAGGACCAAGGATCAGGATGGATTTTGAGTCGGCCAAAATATCCTGCCGAAAACTGTCCTCTGAAGAGGGCTCTGTGAAGCCGGTTGACCATAGCTTGACGGATCCACCTCCTGGGCCTTGAGCTTCGAAAAAAAACTCCGACATTTAAGGTCTTTGCCACACACCCCGGACCCTTTTTTCAGAGCCTCCAGAAGGCCCGCCAGAATACGGGAGCTTCGGCCTATCCGCATTACTAAGGTGACCTAGGTAGGTGAGTCAGCTGCTTTAGGGAGTGGAACATATCTACTATTATCATCTATTATCTGTATCTTTGTAGCGACCGCCAGAATGATAAAAACGCAATTCACCACTATTTGGGTAGGATTGTGGTTTTCCATCTTTTTATTCCTGTGCTAATATTATATACATCTCCATATTTGCCAACACTTCATGGATATCAAAGGGACAATTGGAATATGCATGGAATAAATTATAAATTGGGCCCTGGCTCAAAGCTGTTGACCCTGAATTTGGTGGTTGAAAGCGCAACAAATGATATCAACTCCCAAAAAATGAAGAAGTAGGCAAAATCCAATCCTAAATTCACGTGGTAAATCATGATTTGATTTATATATATAAAGCGTTTTAAGATGATTGAAGGATGCTAAGTATGGATCAAAACTCAATATTTACAGAGACCGCAAATTTGGGGTACCCAAATTGTCAATTGTCAACATGTATTTACAATCCATTTTGGGGTACCCAATTTTTTAGTCATACCAATTTAAAACCACCAGCCTGGCATGAAAACCATGTTTTTTTTGCTTGGGATATTCTGAAGGGCGCCACTTTTTTGGGGAAACTTAAGGGTGATTGATGGTGATTGGGGGTCCTCCATTTTAGGACACCTCCACATTTTCCGCATTCTCCATCCTAAGCTGAAGGCAACATCTCCAGTCGCGTTGCGCACTGCAGAGATTCGATGCCTTGCATGGCTGGGGCTGGTAGTTGCTGGCTTGACTCCAATCTCCAAAGGTCTTTTTGCCCGAAAAATTGGCCAACCACATCCAACCACCAAAAATCAGCCTCCCAAGTGCGGAAAATATGGAAAGTGAACGCCTTTCGCCGTCTCAAACATTTTGAGACCAGCAGTGCTCGTCTAAGTGACGGACAGTGTCCCATCTATGCCCGCCCGATCCTGGCACTGGGCGGGCTGTGGCACTGGCTTTCTCAGTTTTTCCTGGTTTCCACACCAAAATAGCTGGGAATTTCTGGATGTTCATTCCCCAAAATATGGTATTCCAGTGAGCCGTTTGGGATTGAAGATTCCATGAAGAGGACCAAAGACCCTGTGGCATTGCTTCAATATTCAACTTGCAGCTTGTGTCTTGAATCTTCTGGGCCAACTTCTGGGTGTGTCTGAAAATGGGCTGCACCGTTTATGGCAGTTTCAAGAGCGAACATATATCAAAGTACGGGACATTGACGGAGCATGGTGATAATCATGATGAACACGTGATGGATCTAGGATGATCATCAGAAATCATCATTTTTTCCCCACCTGAATTGTGAAGTTCTTCTCTCCGATCTTCCTGGGCGCTGGTTTCCGCTGGTCGTTGGACTTCCGCTGCTTGTTTTTTCAGAGCCCCGAGGCCAGCGCTGAACCACGGCGTTGATCTCTTCGGTGGAGCAAAGATGACCTTGGCGGGTTCCACATCTTGGATATGGATGGGATCCTCCCAAAAATGGCTTGAAAACCAGAGAAAAACCATAGAAAAACATCTTAAAAGAAATATGGTGAAACACCCACGTGATTTTTTTCAGAATGACATGGCATGGCCACAAGCCTGGGAGACCCCTAGCGGCCCTAGCAATTCGAGAATTGGTCCAGACCCTGGCACCCTCGAGTTCACATCTAAAAGTATGAACAGAATGTAACTTCATCATCCAGGTCCGTAATGTTCACCCAGTGGAGGAATCGCAGCCATCAACTGGGACCTGGGCTAAGAAAGTCGCAACGCATGCGTTTTTCCCCTAGGGGCCGGCAGCGAAACTCCACTTGCCGGCGAACCTCAGCATCGATGGAATCGATGGCAGATTCCTGTGGGGGTGAGGTTGGCCAATCGTGTTACTATCACGTCTTGTTTGGCTGCCTGATTCAATTTGACCATTGAACATTTGATGTCTTATATTCAATACCCGTGATGTGGCCAACTAAAACCCCAAATATGTCATGTTGGCCAGCTAATCTGCCCATTCAACAAGCACTTCCCTTTAGACACCTGCCGCACCCCAAAGCACAAATGATGAGCTCCTGACACTGAGAACCAGCTCCATGGGTTGAACGCCAATCCTTGCAGCTGGAGACCAAAAAAAACCTGACGAGATCATGTTTGTTTTTCGCATTTTTTTGGTAGGGGCGTAAACACCACCGTCATATGGTCCCAAATATGTGATGAAATTCTGAAACATCCCCTACTAAACCATGGTTTATGGCGGGTGTTTCACATTGGGTATCTAGTCGGATCATCGCCGAACTTGAAAGCATCAAATGCCATTGGGAAAAACATGGAAAAAACATGATAAAACCATATGCTGATTCGATTTCATTTGGACCAAAGGTGATCAATGTACCTGACGATCCAATCGACAAATTCGTCTAAGGCGCTCTGCCCAGTGGGTCTCCACTGCCTCCGACTGGAACGATCGGAACGGGATCAACTGGGACTGGGCATGGCCATGCTCCGACGATGTCAGATTCAATGAGATTCAATAGAGTTGTCACCTTCCCCACCAAAAAAGGTGACCAGCCCAATTAAACTCAATAGAGTTGTTTGTTTTTTCCCGCACCCACCGGCATTAGGGATACCTTTGGCTGCGACCCTCAACTAGTCTTCACTGCCTCCAGTACCGTCTTTGGAAGAAGGCCTCAGTGATTCAGGCCATGCCGCGAAGCGATACCCAAAGCCTTGACCGATGAAGAACCAAGGTTGGATCCCCTTCCGTTCTGCTTCTAATGCTCTCAGATTTGCAGAACATATATAAAATATATTGGACATTTATATAGATCTATTAACCATCATTTACCATATATAATAATTTACATAATAATTTATGTTTTTCACATGTGATGGTTCGTGGCCACTGTGGCACCGACTCAGCAAGAGTTTCAACTCCCCCGCCGCAGAGGCATCCTGCAACGGGCAAACTAACATCGATGTGGAAAAATGTGGAAAAACCGTGCGGTTTTAGGAAAATGATCCACCAATGGTGTTTATGTTCCACATCTACCATCTGGTTATTTAACATAGCCATGGAAAATCACCATTTTTATTAGGTAAACCATCTATAAATGGGCCATTTCCCATGGCTATGTAAAATAACCAGATGGTATGTTAGTTAACCAATTGTTCTTATTTTTAAATGTGTGTTCTTTTTTTGGGGGTACTGATGATGAACCAGTGGATTTTGGTCTACCCAATTTTCCAAGAAACCCGACAAGTGCCGAACTGGCTGAACCGGCTAAACATCTGACCGAAAAAGGGGCTTCCTCTCAAATCTGGTGTTTGTTGTCACGGCTGCGTCATGATCAAAATGACATGATCAAAATAACATAAAATGACCATCCTAATCATAGTCGGCCCCTTAACCATAGTCAGAGAAATAAATGATGAATCCATATGAATCCTCATGGCCTTATAATCATCATGATGATCATGCGTTATTCCATATGAGGTCTTCTGATGTCTTGTGATGCCTTGTGATGTCTTGTTTTGAGTTTGCTCAGCGCACGCTTTCAGCATGGACGACTCAGAGCTGCAATTGGTGGTGGACAGCTTGGGGTAGCCCAAGTTAGCCAAGGTATCCTTTCCAACAACTTAGAATTGTATATCACCTCGAATATCTGCCGCATATCTACATATAATATATATATATATATATGTATTCATTTATATTATATTTATAGTTATTATTATTACATAATGATTTAATAATAATTATTGTTAATACCGCCCATTGGCAAAACCATGGTTTTGTACTTTTCCAGGCCCTTTTTTTGGGGGGATAGGGCGGCCTCAGCGAGCTGCTCGTCATTCACTGTCTCAACCACTGCCTTCAGCTCCTGGCAGGATGATCATCATCATCCCATATGGGGGGAGGGAACATTCGACGATATTTTTGACCAGGCCCAGGTCTGAAACACACAGCAGTTGTCCTTGGAATTGGGTCCTTGGACGGCGGCTCGAGAATATGAATTGACCACCCTGAAGTGCCATGATGTGTCTTTAAAAAATGGTAGAAATGGGATGGTTTTCTACAAATTTGATGTTCGTTCAGGTTGTCCAAAAAAGATCAGAAAAGTGGTCCCCTCCACCTTGACCTATCCGTATCCCCATACATCCCCATACCATCCCAAAAGCCATGTGTCTTGGTGAACCCTTGATCAACAAACATCCAGAATCACCAGCAATGCTTGGTCACTAGACTACACCTTCTCCATCTGCAAGGCCAACCCACATCGACAAAACATCGCCGTCACCGAATGGCGTGCAGGCGGTTAAGACGAGAATCTCAAATGACAGACGAGTTTGTGATCCACAAAGCTGAAAAAGACTTTCTGACCTGGTCGTCAGTAATCAGTAGTGTGGTAAGGCAAATGCCATAAACCATCCCAGTAACCAACCATATACCAACCATTTGGGGTCATTTTAGATCATCCCAGTTCATAAGCCCCACTTGGGCATGGTTTATGGCATTGGGTTTGCATGGGTTTACCATGGGTTTACCATGGTTTACCTGATGATTCAATTGAAGCTCCGACGCAGGATGATGCAGGCCTAGGCTAAGAGAGTCCACATGTTGTCCTGGCCACTGACGGAATTTCCGTAGCCCTGGGCAAGGGCAGGCAATGGAACCAATGAGGGCTGATGTGGTCGGCATGCTATGGAAAAGCATGAGAATTCGAGCAAATGTAAGGACAGCATCGGAGAACGCATGCATATCATATTCAAGGTGTATAGAAGATCGTAAAGATTATGAGAGGGTCCGAAAAAAAATCCGATGGCTAAGTAGGTAACCTTAGGTAGATCAGAATGGAGATCATCAAGAGCATGTGGTCAGAAGATCTGCAGATTAAAGAAGACAAACTTGTCTGTTGGTGAGCAGCGTCATGGAGATCATGATCTAGGGTCGCAACATAGAATATCCCAATGTCGGACGTGCCTTCTTGGCAAAGTTTGTTGAAGGTCTTGGATTTTTCTTTCAGCAGCTTGCTCATTGCAATGGACCTCTTCAGAACGAAAGCAAATGCACACGTTGTGCGAACGTTGTCGAGATACAAGCAGGAAGCAGTTGTCTACTTTCAAGAAGAAGCTCTTGTTTCAACACAGTGCAGCTGATAGACGCAAACCAGCCTTAGGCTGTTTTGCGTTTCACAACTTCCGGCAAGGCCACAGGGGGCGGTTTTCCCGCTGTGGGCGCGGGCAGAATACGCGCATTTTAATGCACACCGAGATCATACAGTCGTACAAGATGCATTGAACGAAGAAAAAACTAGAATATCCCCGACCCCAACTGGTTCAGGAGTAGGGGGGGTGGATCCTACATTTCTGATAATGTATGAACATAAGGGGGGGGTTAACCCCCTCACTTTTTGCCAAAAATGTATGGGAACTAGGGGGGGGTAACCCCTCAAAATGAGGCATGTATGAGTGCCAGATGCTGGAAATGTATTATTGGTAGGGGTATTGAACCTGAAAATGTATGCTTTGTGGGGGGCACCACTGACAAGAGCCAATGGATACATAAACTTTTCTAAATGTATGCAAGCATGGGGGGGTCTGCACCTCAATCCAATTGATCTTTTTTTCCTGGGAAACCTACTGAAACCCATGGGCCATAAAATGGCTGAAATATCCCCCTTTGAATTAAGTGAGAGTGTTGGTGTTGACAATTTTATAATGATAATCCGGGAGGCCCTGACCCTCTTTCTGAAAATGCATCTATAGAATCAGAGACCCCAAGGTATTTTCAAGTTGACAATCTCTATAGAATCGATGCCGCCAAGTCACTCTCGTAGATGGTTGGGGGGGTTAGTTGGCCTTCTATAAAATCAGGCTCCCCAAGTCTCCTTGACAGCTGACCTGAATGCTCCAGTTATTCTTGCCTAGCTTGCCTTATGCACTCCCAAATTTATAGAGTTCAAAGGCTCCAAGTGTTCACTGTCCCCTTCAATTTCAAAGATCTTGAAAGTCGCTCTGTTTCATTTTGTTTCATGTTGTATCCATCTGTTTCCATCCGTTTGCTCTTTTTGAGAAAGGCGGAAAGGCTGGCTCGAGGACTTCGACCCAAAAACGGTGAGACACACTGGGGAGACACAACGGGGATAAAGAAAGGGGAGACACAACGGGGAGACACAACGGAAAAATGATGCAACATGAAAAATGTCACTTTTATAGTTTGTAAACCAGAAAAAACTGCTTTTGTAAGATATTGAAATGTCAAAATTGTACATATTTGCTGAATATAATTGATGATAACTGATGAAACCCTGATGATAGATCTCCAACAAATCTCCAATATATCCCAAAAGTATCCAAAAGTTTCCAAAAATATGTCAAGATTCCAAATGATTCCAGAATATACAAGGATGATCAAGGATGATGAAGGATGATGAAAGAATTGTTGTGGGAAATTGGTTCTGCCAATGCTTCTCTATAAAATTGAAGAACATGACATACATCCAAAGAGAACGTATCCCACTGTAGAATCGCAGTCCCTAAGACTCTCTGCTGACTAGTCCTCAGTGCTGTATTCAACATGAAATCTCTATAGAATTAGAGGCCCCAAGGTCCTCTATAAAATTGAAACCGTTGACACTAAGCGTTGACACTGGGTAGGTACCCCTTATTAAGTCAGGGGGTTAAAATGCACCATTTTCCAGGAAGTAACGTTCCCGATTCTGTAGAGGAAATTCCAAGGGGGATGCTGAAATATACTTGATCTTAAATATTCTGAAATGTATGCATTGCAGGGGGTACCAATGACTACCTTAGCCAGATCTATTCCCTCCATTTTCCAAAAATGATGTGCTTTTCGGCTACCCAACCCCCTTAAAATACATTTTTCAAAGAAGGGTATTCCCAGAAAAAAATTAAGCATTCCCGGGGATCCTGGAAAAACCAAACCCGTAAAATGTATTAAACCACCCCCCCAAAATAAAAGATCCTGGGGGGGGTTGGATATCCCGACCCATGGAACCTACATTTAACGTACACCCACCGGTCAAATAATGTATTTAGGGGGGGTCCTGGGGAATCAAATTCTTGGAGAACGGTAAATGTATTTTTTTTCCCCAACCTCTCCCCCCCTAAAATACATTTTTAGGGGTGGGTGATACTAGAATTGTATGACATTCCGCTACATTGTAATAGTCATGAGCTCATGTTGCGAGACACATGTTTACAACAGATTTATCTAGTCGGTCTAGTCTAGAGCATTGAGGCTCGGAGCATGACAGAGACTTAAGCCCACAGCACTACAATTCTGAAGCATAGTGAAGCCCCGAGAAACATTCGAAGGTTTCACCATATCTGAATGTGCATCATTTTTTGCATCACTTCAGTTTCAAATCAGCCCTCCATCGAAGCATTTCGGTAATTGGAGTTCACCGTTCTGCGTGTCCATCGTCGGCTTTAGACCGGAAAGGTCTCAGCTGTGCGAAAAAAGTGTGCTGTCCGAAAGCCTTGGGAGCCTTGCTGTAGGATCTGCGTTTCCAAGGTGCGTTGCTTTTGCAAGACATCCTGGGGCCGGAAATGTCTGAAATACATTGAATCATATTGGATCAGTTGTTCCCATCTTCTTGTGTAAATAAATATGCTAAGTGTATAAACGTGTAAGTATAATTAAGTATATGCATATAATCATATATAATATATAGAGGAACAATTCACGTATATCATTGGGAACTGGTTCATCATCTATGTGCATGTGTAAATAATTATATGTATGTATGTGTATATACGTGTATATATATATACATACATATACATGCATGTATAAATCACATACATATTAAACAAATCATACGTATATTATATATATATATATGCATGTATTAAAAACCAGACCGACCTATAATCAATATAAATATGCATTTATAAAATAGGTGTATATATATATATATATAATTAAACGACTAAATACATATAGAATGAAACATATATATATAATAAGTATATTGAATCATCAATAATATACCAGATGTAATATATAATGCATAATGTAAATATATAATATACAATGTATGTTGTTTGATATTTAATGTAAAATTGAAAAAATATGAGCATATATATATATTGTAAAAAAATGAGCATATATATATGTGTGTAAATGTATATGTATACATACATATATATACATATACATATATACATATATACATATGTACACATATACATATATATATATATATACATCGTGGAGATATCCCCTATGACTCCTATGACTGAATTATAAGTAATCATAGTAACAGGGAAATGATGATAAACCGCGGGGTTTGGGCGTAGGTGTACCATGGTGTACCTGATTTTGAGATACGCCCATGTCTTCTATTGCGATTTTTGGCCTTCAATGTGTGAAACGACGATTTTATGGCTCCAATGACCATCCAGCCATATCATGATTGGAGATGGCCCCCCTGTATAAATGAGTCATTTTGATTACCCTTTGGTAATCAAACGTGGCACTTGAAATTCATCAGTTATGGATGATTATCCCATTAAAACCTCTAAACTGATCGGGGAGTCCCAGCCACGTTAGATGACACTGGAGGGTAATTCACAGGGGCAATTTTGATTCATGTCATTCATTGTCATTCGCCCTGTCCTTGACGCTGTAGGCAAGGCTGGTAATGTCCGAATTGGGCTCATTGACCCGGGCCCAGTTGCTCCCTGTCATCTCAAGTTGAACTCTGCCTCCTGTGAAGCGAACTTTGCATCTTGAGACACACGTTTCAAACACAAAACGGTTCCTTGGATGCCAGCACCACCGGGGGGAACGTTCCAAAATTAAAAATAAAGGAGAAACATGAGATGAGATTCCCCCCTTGTATCCTTTTAATTCCTTTTGCCCGTTTTTTTTTTGGGGGGGGTTGGTTAACCATGATTGACGGGAAAATCACCCAAAAATCATCCAGGGTTCCTCACACATGTGATGAATTCGCTCATGTCCGACAGGTTCACCAGGATCAGTTTGCACTGACTCATGTTGGCCAGAAGGCCAGGCGCTGCAGGTTGCAGCATGTTGAGGAGACAAACTAAGATCTCAAGAAGACATGTCAAGCCAATGTTGGGATTGCGCACAGCATTTGCCACGCAATCCTCGGATGAAAATCATTTTCGACCATAAGAAATTTGTTTTCAAACTGTGGTAAACCCGATGATAAACCGTCCCCAAAATCACAATATTTTTATGGGTTGGATTTCAACCATCTCCAAACGGTAGGGTTTATCATTGGGTTTCCCACATTCTTCCCGATAGATTCCCTTTATTTTGCTGGTGGATTCACCAAGAAGGAAAACAAAAAAAGGGGAGAGCAAACCCAGCACTGGCAGAATGGGGGGAACCATCCACCTTTCTGAATCATCCAGTAAGATTCAGATCCATACGAAAATCCGTGCTTGAACTTCCAAAGCCAAGTTAGTATCATATATTCGTATATATGCCAAACATTAATATTTTAATGTTTATAATATCCATATATATGTATATTTACTTACATATATATATATATATCCACATATATATATATACTTATATATATATAATGTACATACACAAAACAAATTCAAGTCCGCCAAGAATCTGGCAGAAACTCGAAGACAAAGGCCGTCTCTTCAATGCCATCAGCCAAGAAGTGATGGAGCAACGTGGAGCGCTCGACACTGCCCAGGGCTGCCCAACACTCCTGCATAGGAACTGAGAAGATCCATGGCATACGTTTATACATACTGTAAATTGATGTGCATTCATATACAAATGCATTAATTTATACATATGTATATATAATATTATGTATATTATATGCTATTATATGTATATATTAGACATGTAGATCCAATTCTCAATATTGGTATGCGTGTGTATGTGTGAAAACGGATGAAAATGGGACATATAACCCTCAAGTTGTAGCAATGTTCCCAGTGGCACGGAGCTGGCGTCACTCCTCCAGCTGGCGGTAGGCACTGCGATCCTCCACTCGCGCCAAACAGGCCAGTCGAATCAGCACCAGTTCCTGCGATTTGCCGCGGATCCCCGTGCGCAACGCCGTCCAGAAAGATCCTGTTATAACTTACTGGAAGTCTAATGGATTATTTCGAGGAAGTTTGATGATTCTTAATGGATGATGATTTCAAGTTTCAGGAACTTTCACGATGTTTCAACATGTTTCAACCCAAAACATCAGCTTGAGAAAATCGCACGTCAAGTGAGGCGAATCCTTAAATTTGGGCAGTTGAAAAATCTGAGATCCCAACCCCAGGAAGAAATGCCCACTGCAAACACCAAGTCACCAAGTTCCAAGTCCAGTTGAGAAATGCTCATGTTACACATGTTACATGATCTTAAATACATGACAAACTCCTTGAACCCCACATTTATTTAGAAGCAGGAACTCTTGAAAATTTATGGAAAATTGGGAATCTAATTAATGTTGCCCCAAAAAAAACTTTTTGTGCCATCCAATGGAGAATTCCCTCAAATTGTTGTTTGATCCCGACGTATCCCGACAGGAGCCTCAGCCGTTTGACATGGCACTCCCAGGCGGTGCGCTCTAGAGGATAGATAGCCTCTGTGGGGAACGGCCACTCAAATATCTGGCACTAGTCACTAGCCAATTGGTTGGGATTCTTATCCCTGGATGCATTTATTTTTTGTTAGAAAAACTTAGTTGAAACACGACATTTACAGTCTCTCGTTCCATCTTACAGCTTATAGTAGTTTATAGATGTTTATAGTATGTTATAGTATTACCTGCTTGACCATACTAAGTCATCATTTTATATGGTATCATTTTGAAGCGCACCCATTTGACTGTTCAGTAGGTTGCAAAGGGGAATCCAGTCACGGTGAACGAAGAAAGGAATGAGGACGGTTGAAGAGTACGAAGGCTTGCTAGGCCTGATTATGTATGGAAGTACCTGGAAGAATGGTCTCCTAAAATCCTGTCCAAACTTGTCATCCTTGATTTCATCATTCATGATGAAGTGCACATCCAAAATTAACATAGGGATGCCTCCAAATTGGCTACAAAACTTATTATTTTTCACATTCATCAGATACATCCATCAATTTCTTGGAGGGTAATTTCCCAAAAAAAAAAAAACATCAAGCTCGGGGATTTCACCAAGCAGCCCCAGTAGATGCCGCAGGGCGATGCCTCTAAGAGGTACTTCAAAATCCGCACTCCTTCGATAAAGCTCTCGGCTCGCTTGGCTGTCAGGAACTTTGAGCCACGGCCAGCATTCAAACCTTGGTCGTGCGTGAGCTGAGCCATCCCAAAGATCTACACACTGTGAGCTGGGCTCATTCGGAGCATTCGGTTTCTAGGGATATGACATCAACCCCAACAAAAACAATATAGACCTAAAGAAAACCCGCAGCACGTGCGATACGACTCAAAGGTACTTCACTATATACACTTGCATGCAGTTTTTCAGGGTTTCTTTAAGCTTTCTTTAGGGTGCATTTAGGGTTTCTTTAGGGTTCATTTGGGGTTTCTTTTGGGGTTAATTTAGGGTGTTTCATTGTTTTTCGTAGGGTTCTTCCATGTTTTTCCGGGTTCTTTTTAGGGTATATGTAAAAAGTGCTGAAAACCAGCATTGCCGGACAGCAGATGCCCCGCAGAGGGTCATCAAACACGTCCCTGGGTTCGCAAACCCAGGGACATCAAGTTATATAGAACATCTCAACATAGTGGAAGGCCACAAAGTACTGTAATGGTCACCAAAAATGAGGTTCCCGACAATCATCCCAAAAGAGTTTGGGGCATAGCACAAATGCTGGCGGTTAAAAAACACTGATTTTAGCAGCGGAGTCTCCGCTCATGAAGCCCAGCAGAAAGAGGATATAAAACCTCAGCGCTTCCACCCCATCCCGCTTGATGCTCTCCTGCAATTGGCTCACGTTGGCAGGTACGTTCTCTCCCTGCAACATCTGCGCCAAATTGAACATGGAATGCAGGTGTAATGCACCTTTGGCATACTTGATGCCTGCAGCATTCAAACCTTGGACGGAAGGTACCACATTCTGGTACTCCTCGATCAAATGCAGGACCACATTCTCTGGACTCCGCTCGTTTTGTGGACACTGATTCGCCACGGCCTTGGACTTTCCAAGGGAACGGATGGCCAGCAACACCAGGACTGCATGGATCTTCTCCTGGAACGGCTTGGGCCATCGGCCACCCAAAAAAAAGACGCAAAATCTGAGTGAGGGCCCCAGTTCCACCCATTTCCTAGGTTCTACACCTGACATTTTAAAGCTTAACCGGCTTAACCCCGGGCAAGTTTCGTAAGTTGGCTCAACCCATCTGATGATGGTCTGTAGGATCTGCCACTGCTTCTCCAACAGCTTGGCAGAGGGTGGCTGAGGCATCGTGAAGATATCATAGCGGTCGTGAATCAAAGCCAAAGTACCTCATCCGCTTGCGTGTTGAGCCACCCAGCCCACAAACATCTTACTCTCTGGTAATTTAACAGCTTGCTATGGAAAGCCAGCCTTTTTAATGGGTAAAATCATCTATGGGCCAGTTAAATTGCTGGATGATACTGGAGGGTAGATCATCTTATGGAAAAACAGAAATTGAAAGCACCATGCCGCTGGTGAACTTTGACACACCCGGCAACAAATCCCTCATCAATTGTTGCATCTGGTAACTCATCGGGATGTATCGGGTAGTCCCCGGCCCCTAAACAGACGGGCCACATATGCACGAGGACTCGGCCCGATCTCTCTCCAAGGGCTGCTCGAAGATGGCGTGCGGGCCATCATTCGGATGCAACTCAGGCAAGCACTCCTGGAGCTGTGCCGGAAGGGTGTTCACCTGTAGGTCCCTCTTCCAGCCTTCCTCAATCATCCACTGCAGGTTTCCACTCTGCTCCATTTCCAAGCCTTTCCTGGGAGATGTTGCGATTCAGGCGCCCAAAAAATTGAACATACCCTCCAGCAATCAATTATGGCCAAGGAAAATCCCCTAAGTAGGCATTCAATGAGAAAATCGATGGGTTATTTTCCATTGCCACTCTTGATTATCCGCGGGTATTCCAGAGAGATTCCCAAAGTATACCTATACAAATACTATAGGATACCTTAGGTAGTGGACTTCCAAGTGGATTTCCAACCTGGGAAAATACCAAAAACATCACCATGTCAACTTGCTAAGTTTCAATGGTTTCTCCTGAGCCACTTCACCCATGGAATTGGACGCGTCACCAAAGAAGTCGTGGTCGCCAAAGAAGGATAGACTGTTGGAGCCCAAGGCACCCGTGGCTTCCGAGGTGAAGGGCTTCTCCACGGGCAAATTGGACAGGTCGATGTTGTCCAAACGCGTCTCCTGGGTATTCCGAAGGGTCCCTTGAGGTGCCAGGAATCTGCCCTGGCTGTCGAAAGGATCTACCCTCTGGTAAACTAACATAGCTATTGAAAATGGCCATTTATAGTGGATTTTCCCATTCAAAATGGTGGATCTTTCCATAGTTATGTTAAATTACCAGAGGGTATTTCAGTCTGACTGACTGGGAGAAAGCAACATATTCTGGTTGGTGGTTGAGCCCTACCCCTCTGAAAAATATGCGAAAGTCAGATTGGATCATCATCCCAAGTATTGGGGAACATAAAAAATGTTCCAAACCACCAACCAGTATTTGTACATGCCATTTCTCTTTTTTGTAGCTTGATGTAGCTGTGATGGAGGTCCGGAATCCCCACTCATTGGTTACGAAGGAGGGGTCAAGATACATCCCTAGGTCCCCAGGATTCCCAAGCTCCTGGTCAGGATAGAGATCCTGATAGATCTGGGTTTTCTTGCAACATCGTTCAGCCAGCATCGCTTGCTCTTCGAAATCTGCGTTACCGCCAGCCCTGGGCACAGATCAACGGGTGAAGGGAACATGTCCAAGCATTAATTGGGGATTACGATTAGGTGGGTTGTAATGGGGACATGATATAATGAGATTTAACGGGGATATGTATGTATCTGCCCGAGACTTCCAAATATCAAATGAATTACATCAAATTACGAGGCCCTACATAGAAAGGGAGACTCTGAGGCACTGTTTGAACGAACGCAAACTGCTAGAGCTACTATCTGAGACTTGTAGTATCTTATAATGACAATATCGTATGACTAGTTATTTATCCATATACATAATAACATTATAATAACTTCCGTATAATAACTTCATTGTGCTCTGGTAGTTAATCTAACAATGCTAATGTTAAATCTCTGAAGGATCTTTAAAGGAGGCTTTTTCCAACAAATCGCCATGTTCAGCTCAGTAATGCCCAAATACTCAGCTGTCCCAGATACCCAAAATACCAGGAGTTGGGGGGTGACGAACCGCGAAAATGCGTAAATATGTGTGTATATATTGTATATCTCCACATACGCATATAAATGCATGTTGAAATCATTTTAAGTGCATATATTCAATCCATTCCAACAAAGGGACGATCTTCTTCCAGAACCATTCAGATCTAGCGAAATTTCAGTGTTCACCGTGGGAGCACTGGAATCCAAGACTCTTTTTCACTGCTGCGGTGAATTCTTTCGCGTACTCGAAGAACATGGCAGCACAGCTGGGGGAGTTCTGCAGGCATGTCACCAAGTTGTCACCATCTAACGTGAACCTGGGCATATACGCCATCAACACGTGCCGCTTGGCCAAGGCCATCTAATTCGTCCAAACCCTCCGGTAATGTAGGGGATGTTCCCATTTAAAGCACCATTTATAGAGGATTTTGCAGCTAGCCACATTTGATTGCCGGAGGATACATCTTAAGAAACACCACATATCAAATTCACACAGCCTTTCGAAGTGCTAAGAGACATTTCGGCAAAAGTGGTCGCAAACAGAGAAGAATGGTGGGCCAGTGCGTCCACGTACAACGCCAGCTCTTCCAATCTGTTCACACCTGTGAGGATTTTGGGATCCATAGTTAGGTCATAGCCTTGCACGTGGCTGTACTCCCCCGTCACAGTGATGTACCTCACGCGAATCTCTAGACCCCAAAAAGTTAAAGCTCCAAACAACATGCTCAGAGGAAAATCAAATAGAAGCCAAAGAAGTAGAGTACAGCTGCACATGTTACACGAACAAAAATACACATAGATTTTGCAAAAGCAGTCCAAAAAGATCCTCCCTCACTTTCCAACAAGTCACATGCACGTCGACAAGGCTCCAGCAACAAATACCTCCTCTTGATTTTCACAAACCACTTTCTTGAGCACCACACAGACCTGGTTGGTGGCTGCCACCCATCTCAAAAATAGGAGTCAACTTGGATCGTTGTCCAGTTAGTTGTTTTTTGGGAAATGGACGGTAATTTTTGGTATGGAACATGAAGACACATAATGATGGGGTGTCTGAAAACGGGTACCCATAAACTCACTGGATTGTTAGAAGTTTTGTATTATATATAATTATAAATGTTCACTATGAAAGTGTACGGTACCCTCCGGTACACTTATACAATTGCTATTTACTGAAAATTGTCTATCTATATAGTTTATTTACCTATTAAAATAAGATGAAAAGTGGTGTTTTCATGTATCTTCCATGGTGAGGGTATCCATGGTATCCACCGATTCTAGACACCCCTTTTTCGCGCTGGCCGAGGTTCGCTTGAAAAGACCTCTGGATATAGCGTCTGCGTTAGAGCGAAGATGGGCACCGTCTCGATAAATCGAGATCTCTGATTCACGGAGAGCTCGGTTTGCAAAGTATGGGAGATCAAACTGGAATCAAAGGTGGTGGGCATCATCTTTTCCTGTGCTGTGCTGGAAAGCTGCTGGAAAGCTGCTGACGATGCTGGGTATGAATATGTATGAATGATGGATGTTTCGTGGATATGTGGTGAATATATATTTGATGGATATTTGATGCTTGATAGGTGTCCTATGGATAGCTGTTAAGCCACATCCGACAGAAAACGAGATGAGAACACAAAGAACAATGTATGCGATTGCTTAGTTTTATATACCAACGCTCCAACTTTACTCCAACCACCAACCATCTGGTGAACCTCTCCTTTTTTATCAGCAACATATCTGCCCGCTTTCGGCTGATTTTGGCTGTCTACCATCAAACCAGCTTGAAAATGTCACATCCGAGCGGTGGTCCCTGTGGTGGTAAATCACATCCTCTTATGCCACATATCAGTTGCATCATCCCCAATAATTACAATGCTGGATATATTAATCCCTATGATGTTTCATGGGACTTCAATGGGATTTCAAACCTTCAAAGGTCACCCCCAACAACAATACGATTTCTTGCTGGATTATTAAGCGCCAACAACCACGTAAAAAAAAAAAACAAAAACAAATCTCAACCATCTAAATCTTGGGGTCCACCTGGGGGGTTGGCACCGTTGGCACCCCTGCCCAGGCTCCAGCTTGTATTCCACAAACTTCATGACCCTGCTGACCAGCTCAAAGGAGGCATCTTGGCTGTGCAGGTACTGCCGGATCTCATAGCGCTGCTTGCTCTTGGCTTCCTTGGTTGCAGGATGTTGCAGGCCACCCCCTACAGTAGTGGGCTGCTGGGGTTCATCATCCTACTGGTGTAGTTCTTTATAGTTCTTCAAAAAACAATCATCAGCATAAATCAACATTTCAGGATGAAATCAGTTTAGACACACTACTTCGATCATTTAACTACAGGATGGGCCCCCCCAGTTATCAGTTGGTTTGAAACCCCATCTAAATATAGTTATATATAAGTATCATACATGATTGTTATTATATAATTAAGTTATAAACCAATTTAGCTAACTATGGGGCCCCATCCTCTAACAAGAATTCTGAAAGGGATTCCCTGGCATGTTTTCATCACAGGATGCATGCCAAGCCAAGCGAAAGGCTTTTTTTTTTTCAAATGGGGCGGCTGTGGTCAATTACTGACGTTGGAAATCTGCTTCCTTGCGGATCTGCTCCCTGCGATCTTCGGCAGCTTTCTCTTCTATCCAACAGATGTGGTCTTCAAAAGAATTGAATTGCTCAAGGGTAAGTGGATTTTGGTCGAATTCACAGCCCATCTCATGGTTTTCTGGCTGTGGCTCATAGAAGCAAAGAATGTGCTTGTCTGGGATGGTGGTTTCAAGGCCACTGCCCTGTGTGGGAGCTGTGTTCTGGTATAGAAAGAACCTGCCTTTGATGCTCTCCGGAGCAACTCCAAAGTTCAACTGTAGGCAAGCATCCGGTGTGGGAACCGGTGTGCCTTCCCTGCGATGGATTAGCTCCCTTAAGCAAGCATCATCGTCATCTTTGTCATCAGGTGGCTTCGAGTATTGCCATCGTGCTCACGAAGGCAGGTCTCCACAATCTGTCGTTTGCTTGTGGGTGTGCGCTGATTAAACTCCAAAGCTTTGGAAGTGCAAGGGCTAGGCCTGGTCTGGGCCAAAGATGTTGGGCCTTTCTTCTCCTCAGCAATCTTTTCCTTTCTGAACCATTTCTTCTCAAGGCCTTCTTGGCGGATCTTTGGGTTGTTCTCCAAGAAATTGGAACTCACTTGGTCGCCTTCTTTGGGCTCCACCTTCAACTTTTGCAGCTGCCTCCTGAACTTTTTAAGCCTAAGGCCTTTGCTTGTCCACAGAAGGGGGGGGGTCTTGGCCCATGTACGAGCCTCCCACATCTGTGCCATTTTTGACGTTGATGTCCAACTTGGATACGAGATTGACCTGCTGCGGGGTCAGCACGGAATTACACATGACCTCCCTGGTTGAGTTCCGCAGAACGTTGAACTCGCTGCAACACTCCTCCAGCCACTCCACCTTCTCATTTTTCGTAAAGAATGTTGGCCATTCTTTACGAAAGATGAGAAGATCGCGTCGCTGAAGGAGTGCGGCAGCGAGTTCAACGTTCTGCGGAACTGCAGCTCTTCTCATTCCAGCCACGGGCGCGTCCGCAACAGCCGACAATCTCTGCCTCCACTTTGCGGACGACCCTGTCGCAACTCTCTTCAAAAGGCATGGCAAGGTCTTGGACATCTGTGGAATCAAGTAGATGTTCTTTAGGGTCTCGTGGACGACCTCTTTGCACTCATCCCTACACACGTGCTCCAACATGTCTTTGTACTTCCCGGGGCTTTGTAGTGGTCCTGTGAACAAAGGGTCTAAATGGCCGTATCCTTTGTTTTCTTCATGTTGAGAAAGTGCATTCGCTTCACCAAAGATCTTTGCTGTCTTGCCAGGCACTGAAGTTGTTCAAGGTGCCCGTGAGGCGCCGTGAGGACCTCTTGCCGTGCCCCTGTAGCACGGCTGAAATCTTCGCACAGGCCCGGACGAGCCGCCTGGACGGCATCAAGGGCACACACGAAACCGGCAATCAGCCAATAACTGCGCTGCCCGAAGTACATTGCAACGGGCGGAAAGAAAGGCTGTTGAGAGAATAGCTCGCTTGAATTGAGTTGTAGTAGTGAGCTAGTCAAAAAAACATTAAGCCAAGCCGAATGTTGAAGGCACAAGAATTCTATATATTATATACAACAAGCATTTTCTGTGAACGTTCTGCAACTACCACACGAGCAGTGTCCAATAGTCTCTGAGATCTGTCATTCCACTATGCTGGTTGGTTGAGAACCAGATTCCCATTTCGCGGATTATGACAATCTCCTATAGTGACGGACAATCACTTAGAACGTAAATTTTTTTCCATTTTTTTTTTCGTACTTAGAACGTAGCAAAATTTCATCACTTAGAACGTAGGGAAAATTCATCACTTAGAACGTCAAAATATCACTTAGGCCCATTTATCACTTAGAACGTAAACCAACACTTAGAACGTGCTAAGTGATTGTCCGTCGCTATATAAACTATTTTTTCGATTTCAAAATCAATTAAATTTCCTTATATAGCGCAATTAAACATATTGCCAAAAATTGGATTTCGAAGCGGACCCTAATAATAAATTTAGACCCTTAATAAAGCGGCTATTTTTTTCGACTTCAAAATCAATTAAATTTCCTTATATAACGCAATTAAAATATTGCCAAAAATTGGATTTCGAAGCGAATCCTAATAATAAATTTAAACCCTTAATAAAAAGACTAGTTTTTTCGATTCAAAATCAATTAAATTTCCTTTTATAACGCAATAAGACTATTGCCAAACACTAGAGTTCGAAGCGGACCCTAATAAATTTAAACCCTTAATAAAACAAAACTATTTTTTTCGATTCAAAACCAATTAAATTTCCTTATATAGCGCAATTGAAATATTGCCACAAATTGGATTTCGATGCGGACCTAAATAATAAATTTAAACCCTTAATAAGAAAAACCGTTTTTTTCGATTTCAAAATCAGGTAAATTTCCTTATAACACAATTAAAATATTGCCAAAAATTGGATTTCGAAGCGGATCCTAATAATAAATTTAAACCCTTAATAAAAAGACTAGTTTTTTCGCTTTCGAAATCAATTGAATTTCCTTTTATAACGCAATTAAAATATTGCAGAAAATTGGAATTCGAAGTGGAATCGAAATTATGTCTAGGTTTCCTATACGGAATTAGCTGCTGAATCCAACACTTAGAACGTCAGAACCCCTAAAAAGCACCAAAAGGTATAGTGTTCCAGAGATAAAAGATCACCAATATTTGCAAATCATATGGGAGGGAAAAGCCAAATGGTACGAAATTATGTCTATGTTTCCTCGGAATTAGCTGCTGAATCCAACACTTAGAACGTCAGAACCACCAAAAAGCACCAAAAGGATCCAAAAGGTATAGGGTTCCAGAGATAAAAGATCGCCAATGTGCAAATCATATAGGAGGGAAAAGCCAAATGGTACGAAATTATGTCTATGTTTCCTACGGAATTAGCTGCTGAATCCAACACTTAGAACGTCAGAACCCCCAAAAAGCACCAAAAGGTATAGTGTTCCAGAGATAAAAGATCGCCAATATTTGCAAATCATATGGGAGGGAAAAGCCAAATGGTACGAAATTATGTCTATGTTTCCTACGGAATTAGCTGCTGAATCCAACACTTAGAACGTCAGAACCCCAAAAAGCACCAAAAGGTATAGTGTTCAGAGATAAAAGATCGCCAATATTTGCAAATCATATAGGAGGGAAAAGCCAAATGGTACGAAATTATGTCTATGTTTCCTACGGAATTAGCTGCTGAATCCAACACTTAGAACGTCAGAACCCCCAAAAAGCACCAAAAGGATCCAAAAGGTAGAGTGTTCCAGAGATAAAAGATCGCCAATATTTGCACATCATATGGGAGGGAAAAGCCAAATGGTACGAAATTATGTCTATGTTTCTTACGGCTTAGAATGTCAGACCCCCCAAAAAGCACCAAAAGGTATAGTGTTCCAGGGATAAAAGATCGCCAATATTTGCAAATCATATGGGAGGGAAAAGCCAAATGGTACGAAATTATGTCTACGTTTCCTACGGAATTAGCTGCTGAATCCAACACTTAGAACGTCAGAACCCCCAAAAGCACCAAAAGGTAGAGTGTTTCAGAGATAAAAGATCGCCAATGTTTGCAAATCATATAGGAGGGAAAAGCCAAATGGTACGAAATTATGTCTATGTTTCCTACGGAATTAGCTGCTGAATCCAACACTTAGAACGTCAGAACCCCCAAAAAGCACCAAAAGGTATAGTGTTCCAGAGGATAAAAGATCGCCAATATTTGCAAATCATATGGGAGGGAAAAGCCAAATGGTACGAAATTATGTCTATGTTTAGCTGCTGAATCCAAACTTGTCAGAACCCCCAAAAAGCACCAAAAGGTAGAGTGTTCCAGAGATAAAAGATCGCCAATATTTGCAAATCATATGGGAGGGAAAAGCCAAATGGTACGAAATTATGTCTATGTTTCCTACGGAATTAGCTGCTGAATCCAACACTTAGAACGTCAGAACCCCCAAAAAGCACCAAAATGCATAGTGTTCAAGAGATAAAGAACGCCAATATTTGCAAATCATATAGGAGGGAAAAGCTAAATGGTACGAAATTATGTCTATGTTTCCTACGGAATTAGCTGCTGAATCCAACACTTAGAACGTCAGAACCCCCAAAAGCACCAAAAGGTATAGTGTTTCAGAGATAAAAGATCGCCAATGTTTGCAAATCATATAGGAGGGAAAAGCCAAATGGTACGAAATTATGTCTATGTTTCCTACGGAATTAGCTGCTGAATCCAACACTTAGAACGTCAGAACCACCAAAAAGCACCAAAAGGTATAGTGTTCAAGAGGTAAAGATCGCCAATTCAATATTTGCAAATCATATGGGAGGGAAAAGCCAAATGGTACGAAATTATGTCTATGTTTCCTACGGAATTAGCTGCTGAATCCAACACTTAGAACGTCAGAACCCCCAAAAAGCACCAAAAGGATCCAAAAGGTAGAGTGTTCCAGAGATAAAAGATCGCCAATATTTGCAAATCATATGGGAGGGAAAAGCCAAATGGTACCAAATTATGTCTATGTTTCCTACGGAATTAGCTGCTGAATCCAACACTTAGAACGTCAGAACCCCCAAAAAGCACCAAAAGGATCCAAAAGGTAGAGTGTTCCAGAGATAAAAGATCGCCAAGATTTGCAAATCATATGGGAGGGAAAAGCCAAATGGTACGAAATTATGTCTATGTTTCCTACAGAATTAGTTCCTGAATCCAACACTTAGAACGAAAGAACCCCCAAAAAGCAACAAAAGGATCCAAAAGGTATAGTGTTCCAGAGATAAAAGATCGCCAATGTTTGCAAATCATATAGGAGGGAAAAGCCAAATGGTACGAAATTATGTCTATGTTTCCTACGGCATTAGCTGCTGAATCCAACACTTAGAACATCAGAACTCAGAACCCCCAAAAAGCACCAAAAGGTATAGTGTTCCAGAGATAAAAGATCGCCAATATTTGCACATCATATGGGAGGGAAAAGCCAAATGGTACGAAATTATGTCTATGCTTCCTACGGAATTAGCTGCTGGATCCAACACTTAGAGATAAAAGATTTCACAAGCCTTTCCACTATCATCAGTGACCTAGACACGTTCTAAGTGTTAAATCCCCGGTACGTTCTAAGTGATGAATCTTGATATTTGGACGTTCTAAGTGTATGGTTTTCGACGTTCTAAGTGCAAGGCTTAGAACGTAAAAAAAGCAGTAATATTCAGAAAAATTTTTCCAAAATACGTTCTAAGTGATTGTCCGTCACTATATATTAAATGGTAGATGAGGGTATGTAACCCACAGAAAATCATCAAGCAAAAGGGTTTAGCCGCCACTCACATGGCTCTACCAGCACTACCTCAACCAGTTCCTCAGCCTCATTTTGCCCCATATTCTCCCCACTAATTCCAGTATATCACTATATCATACTTGGTTAATGTTGGTTAATATGTTATAATGTGGTAAACCCAATCATCAACCTCCAATGTTGGAGGCTTTCTGCAGCCTGGCTCTCTGGCTCTGCGAGCTTCGTTCATGCTTCGGAGCTCCACCATGGTGCCCGAGATTTTCGAGATGGCACTACCAATGACCACCAAGCAGAAGATGCTCAGCAAAATGTCGAAGAAACGCTCTACGACACCTCAGTTGTATATATATATATTATAGATATATCTCTCTCGCCATGGAAGATGCCGGGATAAAATAGGGGAACATGCCAGACATAGGGATGGTTCAGAATGAACAGCACTCCAAGGATCTCCAGGGTAGATGCCAAGTACATACGCACACATGTAGGGATTGATGGTTAGATATGGTTAGATAATGTAATTATTACAACCCCTGCGTAAAGTTTAAACATGGTTCAAGATGGTTCAAGTGGATATGGATCCAAACCAATCAGCACGTCTTCACACCAAGACAGCTGGTAAATGGATGTCCGTCCCTTACACTTGTCGCATAGATTTTGACACATTAAAACCACATGGCTATCAAACTATATTTCACACCTTGGTGGTTGAGCACTACTGGACATCCCTCAAAAAAACCATAAACAATTTGATCAGAGTCACTATCTGCCGTAATCACCGGTGGTGACGGGGCATCCATAATATATCGAAAGGCGTGCAAGTACTGTGTGAAGGGGTCCTTGTCATTGGCCCCCTCCAACGAGAGCCAGCTTTGTCTGCCCTCATTCTCCACCTGGCGCCCCACGAAGTACCAGAAGCAAGTCATCACGTGGGCCACCAGGAGGATAGCCACCGCAGAGTTGATGATGGCAACAACCAACATGATCCACCTCCCACTGAGGGTTTTGCAAAACATCTGGAAGTTGTAAAGACACCATTGGAAAACCATGGTGTTATTTTCCATGATCAAATAAAGTATCAAATACAATGGATGGAATATATATATATATACATATATATACATATGTATACAATTGTATACATATACATAAACGGATCAATCATGATACATCGTCCTAACTCGTCCCTTCTCCGATTTCGGGACGGGAAAGTCGAAATCGGATGGACTATGAAAGTCGTATTTTCGATAGCATGGGGAGTCAGCATCCAGCATCCGGGAAAACAACCATGAAAACCATCCAGCTGAAATCAGCATGGCCCACTGTCTGCCAGTTGATGCTGCAATCTCCTGCATCAAATCCTAGGCGCGCCGGCGGATCCGGTGGTTGGTCCACTGGGTCCACAAACCACTGGGGTTGGTAGATGTCTAACACATGGGTAACACATGGAGACGATGAGTAGTGTTCACTTGGACGCCATCATTCAAACATATTCAAACTAACAATGACACATACCCTCCGGTCATCACAGCGATTGGAAGCCCCCCAAGATTTTCTCATGATTTAGACCTCCATTTATGATCATTTATGATCATTTATGATCATTTATGGAGAATATTCCAGCCCACTTTGGATTTGACGGTTCAAACGGTTCAACCCGGTGCACCCCAACTCCCACTCCCTCGATCTCTGTCTCGGCGCATCGAAGCGGGCCATCTTCAAGAGCCTGACCAAGCGAAAGGCGCGGACCACGCGCATGGAGCGCATCAGTTGGCCCAAACTGCTCCGCTCGGCGTCGGCAATGTAGTTGCCTAAGGTCACATAGTCCAAGGTGACCACTGCCACATCGATGATGAACCTGAGGGTTTTAGAGTAAAGAAAAGAAAACAGGGAGAAAAATAAGGGGATTTCACAACGAACTCTGGTGATAGACTGGAGATATCATGGGATATACAGTATAATATAATGTAATATAGGGATAATAAGCTGAACATGCTGGATTCACAGAGTCTTGAATCGGTGATTTCACTGGATTTGGGGTCTTCCCCAAATCGAGGCCGAGCCAATGAAGCTGCTGTAGTCGATGGAGTTGCTGTTTATTTTGGGGGAACTGAGATTGATGTTGGGGAGATGTACTGCATGTTGATGTTGATATGACGTTGATATTGGCTAATTGAGTATCTATACTTGATTCCGGCTACAAGTAGTGAAATCTACATGGATTTACATGGGCTTCCTTCCGATTGGGGGATGACTTTGACGTTAGCGTTTTATCGTGTTTTCGGGTTCAAGTCATGTAAGCCCCGGTATGTGAGTTGATTGACACAGCAATCCTTCTCCTCAGAAACATCATGATAATACTATCACCTACTGGTCGGCACAGCCAATGCTGTCCAGGCACCAAGTCTGAAGGTAATGCTTCAGAATTTCCCAGCGGCTAAAGACCAGGAAACCCCTCTGGTAGAAAGCTGTGTTCAGATTCATGCAAATGTCTACGCTCCAAAAGAGGAGGCTAAGTAGAAACACCACCAGCAGAAAGAGGCTGCCGGGTTCATCGGTACCTTGATGCCAATCCCAGGCCAGCGACAATGGCAGCAAGATGGCATCTGCCAACAACAAGGCCAGACCACAAAGGTCCCATACCTTAGATGTGCGTTTTGGGCACGAGAAAAAAAAACAGTCCCCAGTCCTAGATTCTCCATATCGTACTTGATTTACCGTGGGAAAATGCTGGAACATGACCAAAATCATGAACTCGGCAAATCAAAGATACCACTCGAACCTTCCCCAAAGGGTGGAAGACCCCCGGTCCAGAATGATCCAAGGCCTCTGAGAGTCCCGAAGTATTGTGCGGAGCATATTTGTTGGCAAAGGAGGACTGCGTTGTGCGCCTTGGCGCTCTCAAGATCTTTTTGTTGAAGGCGGCCATGAAAAAAAAACACAGAAACATATCAGTTCGCAGTTCGTGGTCGTAAACCTGAAATAACCAAATAGTTCCCCCAATCCTAACCATCACAGTGAGCTAGCGGCCATTGAGGTCGCTATTCGCACCAAGGCACTTGTACTCCGACAGCGCCAACAAAGCTTCGGCCTGCATGGACAGCTGCATCCAGCGGTTGTGCAGGCGCAGTTCCTTCCCGGGGCCCAGGAAGTTGGACGTCTGGGTCAAGGAGCTCACTGTGCCCAGGGGCCAATACCAGCCAGCCTGAAAGTCAACCGTGGAGGATGGAGAAATGTATCAAATGGTGTAGTTTCCTAATGCTAATTTAATGTTATGATCTTCACCTTGGTTATCCCCGGCACCTAAAGCCCAAAATTTGGCAAACACTTAGGACCACTTAGGACCTAGGATTTTCCATGCCGCAACCTTCAACTATAAGATTTGCCACATACAAACCAACATCAACCAACCATATTCTCATTCATTCCCCACATAAACCATCAACCTCCACGTCTTTGAGCCGAGCAGCTGTGCTTTCCCATTTCTTTTCCCGATGTTCGGTCAGCGCCACCGGCTCTTGCAGCTGCTTCATGTCGTCCACGGTGCCAGATCTCTCCCGAGCTTTGTTGCCCAGGTCCTCTACGCAGCGGGGACCAGGAGGCCATGGTTAATAACCCACATATAACCCATATATACCTAGGGGATCCTGGGGGTATATGCCATATACAACTGGAAAATACGCCATTACAAAGGATCCAAAGGTTTTCAAAGCTACGACACTTCCAGCTGTTTTTGGGATTTTCCGATATTTTGACACCCACTGATTCTACGGATGTTTTGCCAGGAGGGCTCAAAGTCCCTCCCTCAGAGATGCTCATCAACAGCTCATGTGGCTGGTTGGATCCCTGCTTCAAAATCTCCACGTACAACTATATATATATAAGTACCCGGTGTGCTAGGGATTGTTAAACTAACAAAGCCACCAATCATTCAGGACCCTTGGAGGATCATCATGATCATCCCGCTTAGTGAGTTCCTGCGCAGGTTCTCGTAAGTGACTTAGTCCATTAAACACATCAGGCTTTTAACATTTTAAATGTGCTAAAATAGCAAGATCTAAGAAGTTACATGAAGTTACAAGGGGTGATCCTCTAGCCCTGTAGCATCCTCCGGCCATGTCTTTCCGTTTCGGGATCCCTTTGTTTAAACTCGGCTTCCTCCGTGGACAAACACCTCGACCCCCGGACGCTCTCGCTACGGCTGTCGCGAGCGCGTGGCTCTTCCATCTGCGCTCGGACGAAGTCCTCAAAGCAGTGGAGTTTCTCCTTGATGCCCTGAATGCGGTGTACAAACATGTCCTTGGCCAAGGCATGTTTACTCAAAGAAGAAAGGTTTGTTATAAGCAGGTATAGTCTTATCGATCAATATATGAGTTACTGTATTATCTGTATAATTTTGTATATCTGAATCATCTGAATCTAAATTTAATATTAATACTAATATACGCCATGATGTACATACATACATATTAATATGTTATATGTATATCATCGAATCATATATATATATATATATTAAAATACATATATGATCATATATGCTTTATGACATTATGATCTGTGGCTTGTGCTCTATATCATGGCGATACATCCGGAATTTCATTGTCAGAGACCGTATCTTCGTATCGGGGTGTTCCCAAAATTTCCCTTTTAAGACACGACAACAAAAATGATCACATCACCAGCGTCGATCTCATCCTGGACAGCATGAATGGTATCCAGCTGCTTTTCCAGATGTTGTGTTGAGCCAAGATCGTCCATGGCTCGAGCCAGGTGGACGGGATCAACGGTTCAGGTCATTTGAAACTACGAAGCAGTAATTTGCTGCAACACCGGGGTTTCTTGATGACAATGACATGTCAATAAACATCATAAAACATCAACAAAAACACGAGAAATCATAGAAAATTCAGCTCAACCATCGCAAGTGCATCACTCACAGTCGTTTGAGGCCCTGGCGCAACTAGCAGCCCCTGAAGCTCCAACAACATCACCTCCTTTCACCGGGCGGGGGTTCAAATCAATTTCCAAGAGCGGCAATGGCCAGGCCTTGTCGTCCCGATTTTCTGACGGCGCTGGGCCGGAGCCCCTGAAAGACCAAACGAGCCGTTTCGGCACATCAGAAATGCAAACGAAACATGTTTGCGCCAACTTAATCCTGGCCAAATCATGCCAAATCCACTTCAATTTTCATCTCAACTGGCGATGGAAACTGAAAAACATATAGGTCACTCATAAATATCGGTGAGAAAAAAAGGTGCAGTGACCAATCCGAGAAAATTAACACTGTATACATCTGTATACTGCATGATCTGCATGTTTGTAAGGCGGAGGCATTCCCATCAAATCAAACAAAGCCGTCTCTGCGCGTTGTGCTGGCTTTGTCTTTTCTTTCTTTGCCTCGTCAAGCTGTGAGCCATCCAAGGTCTGGCTGCTCAAGTGATATGGGGATCATCTCCGGTAGGGATGGTAGATGATAACATAGCCATAGGATCCATGGTGCTGCTATATATGGTAACATATGGTAACATGGATCCCATCAATATACCCCCAATGTTAGCATATATACCAGCACCATGGATCCTATGGTCCTATGGGATATGATATAAAATCACCACTTCATCAGCGTATTTAATAACTTACTCATCCAAGGTTGATGATATCTTGGAAACAATCTACAAACATGGCAATTCAATGTCGCCAATCTCTATTCCCAGAATTGATTTCAGGGAAAATCTGCAGACATCAAACAAGAAAAAACAATGTTTGGCTTTCCCCCCCAAACAAAAAAACACACACACACATACACATTGTTTCCGGTAAATAGATTTTACCAAACCAATCCATCAAAATCTCAGGAGCAGACCTCAAGCCTAGTCTTTTCTGGGAGGCTGCCCTTCATTTTGCCGTACTTGGCCAGCACCTCGAGTTCCCATGGCCAAACCATGCCAAACCCCTCAGAACGAAATGGTTTGGTTTTGAATACCCCCCATTTCTGGGGAGTCATAGAGGGTACTGTATGGATTTTTGGCATGTTTGTTTTTTTTAATACATATTGATTTAGTTGTGCGTGTGTGATATATATTCTGAGCAAGTGACTTGTGACACCGATGGTTTGCGTGGTTTCTCCTCGTTTCAGACGGCTGGCCCAGTGAACAACTGCCCAAGGGACACACTTCCAGTGGCGCACGGTGTTGGACAAGACTTTTTTCCATGCGGGGTTTCCATAGTCATGGGGGTACCCCAATAACTGGATCGTTGATACTGGAAAATCCCCCAATCCCCATGAAAATCCTAATAGAATGGATGATTTAGGGGTAACCCCCATTTTAGGAAACCTCCACATATACATGGTAAACCCTAGCGATTCGCTCCGAGTCATCCAGTAGTTCCCATGCAATCGCTGTGTCGAAGACGTTGTTCCTGACAGTCATCAGCAATCAGCAGCTGCACAGCGTGATGCTCGCTGGGCTTCCCACAGCAAAAGTCCAAGCCTGTCAAGATCAGTTGGAATGCCCACGTAGATCCTGAAAAAATTATGTCACAGAGCTACAGTACCTCTAGTACCTCTCCCCTACTTTTTGTAGTTGTCTTTGCCAACGTTTTATTGGGTACTTCAGGATCAAGGTAAAAGAAAACATGGTGTTGCCATGCAAAATCTTCTTGATGCGATCGATTGATGCAACAATGGGCTGGTAGGAAAATCTGCTGGAATCCCCCATCTGCAGGGGGTCATTTCTGGTGTCCCATCGTTTTTCCTATGGGTTTTTCCCTCTCCGACTCTCCGACCCCATCGATTGCTGCATTTCCAAACGCGCCGAGCACGGCTTATGATTCAAGACATCCGAGACCATGGGGCAATCGTGAACCACCTTGAGCACCTCGGGATGCATCTAAAAGAAGCATTCAGAAGATCAAAAAATAACCAAATTCCAGTTCAGAAAAGGCAGCCAGCTATGATCTGTTGAACATGAATTCTATATGACCCGTTTAAACTCTCATAGCTCTGGGAATCCAAAACTTAAAACTTAAAACCTATAAACCTGGCCTCATCTGCCTCGAAGATATGCTTCAGCATCTTCCGCACCTGACACAACAGATTCCCGCGTCGAATCCATTGGTTTTCTCTTTCCCCACATTTCCTCCATTTTACAAGGCAAAAACCATGGTTTTTGGCTGGTTAAATCCTAAGTTTTCATGGTAAATCCCTTCCTCCGTTCATATTAAACACCCCCAAACGAAACCATGGTCTAGTAGGGAATTTCCACATATAATTGGGACCATTTAGGTGGTGTTTAATATATAGATTAATATTGCGGGGATGGGATTGGTTGGAAAACATGTATGGTAAGTTTGATGTTCATCGGTTTGTTCCAATAAAACATACCATACATTGGGGGTTATGTGGCTATATATTATATAGGTGCAACTGGTTACGGCTAATATTCATAATATTATATAATATTGACATAAATTGGAGAATCTATATCATGTTGTACCAACCACGGTATCCCCCATCTTGATCCATTTTGAGGTGTCCCTCTCCGCTACCACCGCATGAACTCACAGAGGCTCCAAGCGTAGGATTTTTTGAGCTCTGCCTGGCTGGGCTGTCGTGTACGTCATGTACCCTCTGGGAATGACAGTTTGCGAACTGGAAAATCAGCAGGTTTTAGTATGTGGGTAAATCATCGAAATCAATGGGAGCTATGCTCAATTTGGTATTTTGGGGCTACAATGCTTCAGCCAGACATCATCCGTGGTTTCATTCCGATGTGCCTTGCATCCTTAAGACTTATTTTGTTAAAAAAAAAGCTTCATGCATCGCACCCACATGTAAGTAATTATCTTACCTGGATGGTCGTGGCAATATACCTTAGTTCTATGTTACTAACGATGTTGGCTTCCGCACCAATATCCCCTGATGGATCAAAAAAAAAACAATTAGACTCTTCTAGTCAATGCTGCAGATCTGCTTCCCAATTTACTGTCTTTCAAGTCCAATGTCAGCCTGAACAGTACATTTATAGAATCCTCTTTTTCTTTGCTTGGCTTTCCCTTCTTTGTTTATTTTGTTTTCGTTCCCTTCTGATTCTGTGTTTCTTCCTGATGCTGCCAGATGCAACTATGGTAACTATGGCTACCGTGGCATGGCAATCTGCTTCCGCTGCCCTCACGCACATTTCTTCTTTTCCGCTCAACGCACAAAACCATTATATCCATTATTATCCACCACTTCTCTGGTGCTTCCATCGGTAGCTAGTTCCATCTGGGTCTTTCTGAGAATAAGGGGATACCCCCAAATAGCCACTTCATGCCACTTCAAATTTAATTATGGAAAATATGGCGAAATGATGTTTCTACCACTGGATTTTGTTGGGATCTAAGTTTCAGTCCCAAACTTCCTGAGATTTGTGGCATATGTAGGTGTAATGTCTGCCTTCACAGGCCGACTCTGCGATCTTCACCGACAAAGCACCTTGCCCCGCGTAGCCTGCCAGGTCCCCCGCAAAGCACCAGAGGTTGTAGGCGGTGTAGCGATGTTCCGCTGCAATATAGGCATCAATGTACTGAGCTGAGAGGCCATAGACCAGGCCTGGGATGTCGATTCCGCCCTGAGGACAAGATGTAGGGGAATCATCCTCCTATGTCTCGGGGAAAAGAACAATCATTGAAACGCGTTGAAAGAATATAGAAATGGCTGGAAGGAAAACGCCCATTACTTCAGACCCTCTGAGCCAAATGGCCATTGCCGAAGTATGCAATGAAGGCAGCGAAGCCGGTGATGATGGGTATCAGCAAAAAGTTCAAAACCTCACCTGCGATGCACAAAAGGATGGAGGTCGCAATCCAAAAGCCCCAAGCTTTCCCGGTGCTGAGGTTCAAGACCTCAGGCACTCGTCGACTGATGGTATCCCCCAGAGCCATCAGAACGAAGTAGTAGAAGGCGGTGTAGTACTTGAAGGGAATCGTTGGGCTGGTGCTGGACGGCGCAAACAAAGGCACATGGGGGGTATTGAAGGTCAAGTACAGCAGTGGAAAGGCATCCTCCATGACAAAATTTCCTGCAAATTTGGCCAGAAACCAAGGCAACATGGCTAGAAGCCATTGCTGGGGCTGCTGCAAAGATTTCAAAAAGATCTGGCACCCTTTGCCCTGAGAATTGGCATCAGCCAGCGGCGCGTAGAAGTAGAAGATCGCCACCGCAACTGGAATGCAAGCTGCTGAATACACATAGTAGAGCACTTCATATCCCGCAGGAAGCACTGAGCCTAGCAGGATATTGTGCACGGCAAACCCCAAGGGCGCTCCCATGATGGCGAAGGTCTTGGTTTTCTTACCCAAGACGCTGATGATGCTCAGGAAGGTACCCTCAAAGAGACCAATGGCAATTCCTCCCAGCGTATATTGCAGGTAAACCACCGACAGGTCCTTCATGTCCTCACCCCACACGAAGATGATGGGAATGAGCAAGGCTACAAACATGATGGCATAGGCCAAGTACACTATGCCATTTGGTTGTAAGAAGACCAGCAAAGAAATCTGCAAGATTCGCATGAGAAGTTTTGAGAGTTGAAACGAGGCTGTCGCGTTTTGAAATGCCGCTGCTTCACTTGGAGGTAAGTCCAGCTTCATCTTCAAGGCGTGCGCGGGGTTGCCATTCATCACCCCATAACCTTGGAACATGATCATGAAAGCCAGCAACAAAATTCGCACTGGTGGAGGTTCCGCAGGGCTTTCCTGACTTTCCTGACTTTCCTCCAGCAAACTGACGCCACGTTCTTCCCCTGCCACTTGTGGGGATCCCAACTCGTAGCTTCCACGGCCTTCTGCATCCTGGTTCCGCATTGTGGCAGCGGCGCTACGTCAACCCGGCTGCTGGGTGGCAGCTGGGCGGCAACGGATCGGGGAAAATGGGCCACTTGGTGCTGTGATTCACTGTGACTGTGGGGCGGATGCTTACAACTCACCCTAACTAATCTGGGTCTCACTAAGCTCAAATGTTGCCTAAAGTGTTGCCTAGACTAAATCTAAATGTGTTTAAAGACATTTCTCATGGGCTTAACATGGCTTAACTGCGAGCCACAAGAAGAAAACACACACAACGCATGAGAAGGGCGGAAGGGCCTCCAATTCCTTTCACCTCCCAAGGTGGTGAACCACATTCCGGACAGAACATCCCCCAAAAAACTATTGAAAGCATTTGAAAGCAACAGCCATTGAGATTTGACCCCAAAGGGTGGTTTCACCAAACATCAGTCATTTAATTTGAGATTTGATGATCAGAGGTCCCAGTCATGGTCCCAGTTGAAGATGAACATACCCTCCGGTATCCTCTGGTAATCAAACATGGCAATGGAAAATCCCCTGTTTATAAAATAATTGTCCCATTAAAACCTCCATTGATTTCCCCGCTAGCCACGTTACCGGAGGGTATGACCCATGAAATATCCCACATCATTAACCAATATTAACCAATATTAACCATCATGAGCCATTGTTAATGATCATTGACCTTTAATAACCTTATTGACCACCAGCCAAATCAGCCAATTTTTTTCAGACTTTCGCCACGCCTGAGATATCCACAGTGCCGGTCTCTCGGTGTCATTCTCGCGCAGCATTCTGGCGCTGTCAAGTCTTGGGCTTCCAATTGTCAAAAGAAAAAGAACAGTTACCCATCCCAAAACATGGCTATGGAGCCTACCATTTTTACTTGGGGGTCAAGATTTCATGAACCATTGAAACCAACCATAGGGCTAGAGATATACTGGGATACAACAATACAACCGGGATATAACTTCAACAATGCTACTTTGACATAGATACCAACGTCTTTTCCCTGCGCAGCAACAAACACAGGCCCAGAAACCCGGGCTTAGCCCGGAACAATTGCAGCAAGCACGCAACTAGTGACCCAAGACCTGTGTGGGTTTATAAAAATGGGGGATGCGGGATACCCGAAAATAGCAAGTCTGGTGAGGGATAAACAAAAACCCTGGAATCTTGGCGGTGTTCCTTAGCCAAAAATCTTCAACAATCCCCAGCACATCCTTAAGGGCACCCTCGTAGCAGACCACTCTGAGCATCCGGCATGCCAGAGATAGGGCTGTCCCGAAACAACTCGCCGCACACCTTTGCGGGTAAGTGGATGACCTAACTGAGTCACTGATCGCAGTGGGCATAATGAATGGTATAGCACATGGTCACACGGTATTCAATACTGCGTATTTATAGACATGCAATCAACTATGGTACAATGCATTAATCCCTTATCCCTGACACTAAACCGCCCCCCGTAATAATAAACACCTGTAGTTTTTAGTATTCAAGGGTATTTAATATTAGGGTGCGAAGCTTCCCCCCAATACTAAATTTAAAATTCAAAATCGATTAAATTCCTTGTTATAAATTCTAATTAAGATATAACTAAAAATTTGATTTCGAAGGTTCCCTAATATTGAATTAAAAACCTTTAGTATCTGATGGTGATTTTTAAGGCCCGGAACAACATGGAACCCCTGAAAGTCCTGATTTATATTTCTTCAAAAATTGGATGTCAAAGGTTCCCTCAATATTAAACTAAAACCTTAATTTCAAAACATATTTAAGGACGGACACCCCGTCCTAGACTAGTTGTTGATCATTAGGGGGTGAAACTCTCAAATGGGACCTTCATGTTTGAATTGTTTTCTAAAGGGGATCAATTAAAAATCAAATTGGCCAACTTCAAATTTCCCAAAAATTAAAATGAACCCTAGTTTTGATGTAGTATTTGGGGTACGTTTAGTAATAGGGAGAAGGGTTTATATCGTATACATCCCATTTACTGATTACCTGGCAATCAGGTCCAAAGCGGAACACAAAAGCCGTGGCACTTGCGCTGCAGCTGTTTTTCTAATGTTTGAGAAGCCGACTGACACGGCAATGAGCCGACATCCTCTGTCCACCAAGGACTGCAAATTTGTAGAGGTCGCATTTTCAATTGCCTCCACGTTGCAGTGGAACCATGGAAATTTATGCTGTAATTGGTTGTGGAACCTACAGTATGTTGGGGTTGTGTATTCGCGCGTGCGAAATTCTTGGTTGACTGATGGGTAGAAATCATGTAAAAGGAACCCGCTGATTGTTTGGATGCTATGAAACCGTCTGCAAATCAAACATCGCGATGGCACACCCCCAAACTAAATGGAGGTTTACAGCTTGGAAAATCATCGAACTGTTGTTGTTTTTTCTCCATCAGACCATGTTTGAGTATCTGAACGCAAAACTATAAATACTGTACATCTTATTAATCCGCCGGCCCCGGCTCATGCAAGGGGAGCGCGTCAAGGATTACAGGTTTCTGAGCAGCAGCAGCAGCAGCAGCCACCAGCAGCCACCAGCAGCCACCAGCAGCCACCAGCAGCCACCAGCAGCCAGCAGCAGCCAGCAGCAGCCAGCAGCAGCCAGCAGCAGCCAGCAGCAGCCAGCAGCAGCCAGCAGCAGCAGCCAGCCAGCAGCCAGCAGCCGCCAGCAGCCGCCAGCAGCCGCCAGCAGCCAGCAGCAGCCAGCAGCCAGCCAGCAGCAGCCAGCAGCCAGCAGCAGCAGCAGCCAGCAGCACAGCAGCAGCCAGCAGCCAGCAGCAGCACCAGCAGCAGCAGCAGCAGCAGCAGCAGCAGCAGCAGCAGCACAGCAGCAGCAGCAGGGGTCTCAGCAGCAAGGAGGTCAAACGGCCAGCAGCAGCAGCAGCAGGAGTCTCAGCAGCAAGGAGGTCAGCAGCAGCAGCAACAGCAGCCGCAGCCACCAGCAGCCACCAGCAGTAGCAGCAGGAGCAGCAGCCACCAGCAGCCACCAGCAGCCACCAGCAGCCACCAGCAGCCACCAGCAGCCACCAGCAGCAGCAGCAGCAGCAGCAACCATTATTGTTATCATATTATTCTGGTTTCAGAAGCGACGTTCCGGCCCTCCGGGGAACTTTTTCTTGCCGATAATTTTGCGTCATAATTTTTTTTTAGTCGGATTTCAGGCTGGCAGGTCCAGTGTTTTGGCGGCTCAGAAGGTGTAAGTTGCAGAGCTAGTTCTCTAGGATTTCAGAAGACACGTTAGGCAGTTTTTGGGTGCGATTTGGTGGCTTCTCCGCCCTTCACTGCCACAGTGTTTTGGCGGCTCAGAAGATGTAAGTTGAAGAGCTAGTTCTATAGGATTTCAGAAGGCACGTTAGGGAGTTTTTTTGGGTGCGATTTGGTGGCTTCTCCGTCCTTCACTGCTATGGTGTTTCAGGCTGGCGGGTCCAATGTTTTGGTGGCTCAGAAGGGGTAAGTTGAAGAGCTAGTTCTTTAGGATTTCAGAAGACACGTTAGGGAGTTTTTTTGGGTGCGATTTGGTGGCTTCTCCGTCCTTCACTGCTATGGTGTTTCAGGCTGGCGGGTCCAATGTTTTGGTGGCTCAGAAGGTGTAAGTTGAAGAGCTAGTTCTTTAGGATTTCAGAAGACACGTTAGGGAGTTTTTTGGTGCGATTTGGTGGCTTCCCCGTCCTTCACTGCCAAGGTGTTTCAGGCTGGCGGGTCCAATGTTTTGGCGGCTCAGAAGGTGTAAGTTGATGAGCTAGTTCTCTAAGATTTCAGAAGACTAAGACACCTTAGGCACGTCCACAATTCGAGGAGCTGAGCTCGTATATTGTTTTTCTAAGTCTCCAGAAGGGGCGTCAGGCTCAGTAGCAGCGTGTTTTCGGATGTTTTTGGAGGTCATTGGAAACTCTGAAGGTGTATATAAGTTGAAGAGCTAGTTCACTGCCATGGTGTTTCAAGCTGGCGGGTCCAGCGTCTTGGCGGCTCAGAAGGTGTAAGTTGAAGAGCTAGTTTTCTAGGATTTCAGAAGACACGTTAGGTTTTTTTTTGGTGCGATTTGGTGGCTTCTCCGTCCTTCACTGCTATGGTGTTTCAGGCTGGCGGGCCCAATGTTTTGGTGGCTCAGAAGGTGTAATTTGAAGAGCTAGTTCTCGTGGATTTCAGAAGGCACGTTAAGCAGTGTTTTGGTCCGATTTGATTGCTTTGCCGTCCTTCACTGCCATGGTGTTTCAGGCTGGCGGGTCCAGTGTTTTGGCGGCTCAGAAGGTGTAAGTTGAGTAAGTTGAAGAGCTAGTTCTTTAGGATTTCAGAAGACACGTTAGGTTTTTTTTTTGGTGCGATTTGGTGGCTTCTCCGGCCTTCACTGCCATTGTGTTTCAGGCTGGCGAGTCCAGTGTTTTGTCGGCTCTGAAGGTGTAAGTTGAAAAGCTAGTTCTCTCAAAAGTTTCCTAGCTAGTTCTCTGAGATTTCAGAAGGCACGTTACTGTAGGCAGCTTTCACTGCCATGGTGTTTCAAGCTGGCGGGTCCAGTGTTTTGGCGGCCCTGAAGGTATAAGGATAACAAGGGAATCTTGATAACACTTGAAGTCTTGCACTTTTGACCTAGAAAGGATCTTTCAACATGATATTGATGTTTCGATGTGATTTGAATGGAATATGAAAGGAATCTTATAGAAATCTGATAAGAGATCGACTACAATACATGATAGGGTGTATACCTCATATAGAGTACAAGTGCTGAATATCTTGCTCCCTTGTTGCCTTGTTCCTGTCAAAGCTACAGCTACAGAAAGCTAGGGTACGCCTGCGCAGTATGCCATTGTGCCTGCACATGCTTTTTTACTCTTCCTGATAGCCTTTCTTACTTTTTCAGGTTCTCCTCTACCATCTTCTAACAATCAACAAAAGAAAATCTCCATCTTGGGGCATTTCCGTAATCTAACCCAAAAGTGTCCGTCTTAGGGTCCGGCTCATGGTCCATGGCCTCCAAGCGATCTTCAATCAGCTTGGCTCTCGCCAAAGCTTGAGCCTGTGTGAAATACGGATCAAACTGCATCCACACGAAACGAAGCATATCGGTTCAGCATGGCTTAGC